TGGTCAGTCTTTTTTTTTTTCTGCGGAAAGTTCAAGAAGGGGCACATTACTCGATCAAGACAGAACGCTTGGTCCTGCCTTTATCACGGCTATTTTAAAATAATCACCGTGCGATTGAAATGAAGTCGGGCACACGTGCGAACATTCTTTCCCGTTCCGATCATCCACGTGCTTGTTGGAAGAACAAGTTGCGACGCACATCCCACCCCACCCTCTCTCCCCCTTTTTGTTTGTTTCTTTTTTTTTTTTTTGCTTCATGATCACACACACCCAAGGACTTTTGCCTATTTTCCACGTTGCTTGCGTCGTCTGATTTTCTTGTAACATGCACCAACTACCCCAACAACAAATTTTTGGAGATGCAAAACTCAGACAGCATTGCCCTTCAACCTTTACCCAAGCGTGAAACTGTCTGTGCATACGTACCTGTTAAAAAAAATGCCCCGACCTCCCCGAAGAAAATCGTGAGGAAATGCGAATGCATTGCGTTGCGTACATAGCGGCGTTTCGCACGTGAGAACCCAACATTAGAAGAATAATTTTCTTTTACATGCGGAGCATGTTATACTAGGGGCTAGTCATGCGCCGTCGCCGTCCGCAGCCTCCCCTCCTCCTCCGCCAGCCATCTGTACATCCCTTCCTCCTCTGAACACAGCGCACTGTGTTGCATTCGCGGGACGTGCATCGACCACGTCTTTGCAAATTTCGACCTTCGACCACTGCAACCAGTCTCACTCACCCTTCACTTTACGGACCATAAAGCAATCTTGCTCAAAATACCCAAAGCGTCCATAAACATCGTCGTCTTTCGCAGCATACGTGCGTGCGTGTTCACTAATAACACACACGCATGTCGCAAATTACAAACCACATTTATCGCAGTTCAACATATATGCTCCGCATGCTAACCAGTGTTCCCACTCGGGAAACTGCAGTCATTTTCTTTTTTCTTACACCGTGCAGCCAATAGCGCTGTTCACAGCACGCGGCGTTTTTCTGTCGGGAGAAACGCGGTATGTGTTTCCAGCTCTAATAGCTACTGTTCATGGTTAAAAAATAATATGAAGTGAACAAAACAAACAGCGGTCTCGGCTTGGCGTTTCACAGTGGCGTCTCGAACCAAAGCTTTGCTCGAACACACATTTCTGGGTGTTCTTGAGAGGAACCCAGCCAGCGAAGGGTCGAAAATGAGGCGCGAGCGGCCAGAAAAGTGGGGCGCAGGGAGGAGAGAGAGCGAACGGTGAAAGAATGAGCGTTGAAGCACTGCACCTACCCTTTCCTACACTCTCTCGCACCACATGCTCCGGTTGATAGAGGCGAGGATAGGTGCGCGCGCCAGCAGCTGTTGCTATGGGAGAGGGAGCGAGATCGGAGAGATAACACCTGCCGGCACGCGGACAACGCCGGATGCCTGACATATCCGAACTATATAAGAAATGCATTCGCATTTTAAATCAAGAGTTGGATGAGTTGGTACATTTCTGGAAAGCTTGGTAAAGTGACTGTCTCATCTACCTCTCGCCTTGTTTTTAGTATTCTGGAAGCAACTGTGTACACTCAAACTATAACCTAATGCTATAACGAACCTGCTTAATTCTATTATTTTTTGTTAGCTTTCTCCTATAAGTGCCTTGTTTTTCTTAATTGTTTGAAGTTTGTATTGAATATATCTCTTCTAAAAAAGTTCCTGCAGTTGGAAAAATTTGAAGGGTGTGCTAGCCAAACCAAAAAAAGTTTATTGTTCATTGCTCAAGCTTGGAAAACGTAGCTAACGTGATGGTAATCAGCGAGAAGAAACAAAAGACAAAGTGTGGAAATTTTCAGCGTTCTGGCAATAATTTCGTAATTCTGACAATATATGGTTCTAACAACAACAAGACCAGTTTAGTTATGATATGCTGACTCCGAATTGGGCTCGCACACCTGACACGCAGCTCACAAACGATAAACCACCAACATGTGAAAAATGTCAAGAACCTTTAACAGTCATACTTCTCTATTACATAAAAAAAATCCCTGTGACTGTAGCCCAGAGTAGAGGCGCCAAAATAAAGAACAACTGATTCAGCTATGCAATGATTGCGAGATATTCCACTCTACCATTATTTTTTATCCTCCTTGGCCCATCCAACACGGTGAAAGAGGAACTGTATTGTTAATAGTTCATGTGAGCCCATGTGTCTGAAAGGAGTGCCTTTTTTGCTTCAACAAAAGTTTTTTTTTTCTTGGTAATCAAAAAATAAAGTGCTTGCACAAAAAGCAGCCTGTGTGCATCCTCAGGCTACAATGCAAGCTGCCCACTACATTGAAGCGTACCAAGCTTCGCCAGGTGACAACACTGGTTTTCAAAGCAAAGGGCTTAATTATGAAGATATTGCAAGATTAATACCACGGTCAGAGTAGGCAGCTTTCAGTTTCCTTTAAATTAAAAGTTGCTTTTGCTGCCTGCCAATTAGCCCCTCTGTAAGCATGAAAATGTCATGACTCATGAACTATTTATGATCTGCTCAATAAATATTCTCAGTTATATCGACACGTGTTGGGGTGTTCTAATGTTCTCAAATTAAATTAAAAAATCTGTAATTATAAATATCAATATTTTTTAGAAGCTTTTGAATTGTTGAAACTTGATTATGGAAATATTTGATATGCTTGGGAGTGCATTTAATTATTTCTTTTTATAAATGAATGTGGCTGGCTGGGCTGTGGTTTAGGGTCTGTTCTAGCTAGTGGTGATTTTGTGACTAATTTACATGTTTCATTGTAGGCTCTGTTTAGCATGTCATGTGTGCAATTTTTTTTTTTTCAACTAAAGATGCCTTTAAATTGCTCATGTGGTAAGTGTACTTACCGTTGTCACTACATATTGTTGTTGAGTTGAATAAACTTTATTTGCCCAACAGTTGTTGCTGTGCTCGGGGATAGGCTGCCAGGGACACATCGTTTGAGGAACATCTTCTGAGGTCCTCGGCGACGTATCCTTCTTAAATGCCTCACCTGTCTGACAAATATTCGTGGCTTAGAGTCTTGCATATGTCTGATGACTATTGTAATCTAGATAACGCTGTCTACTTGTTACTTTTCTACAGAGTATAGTCTTTAATTTTCCTTTTTCAATGGATATTGTAGTGCAGATAAAGTTATATTCAACAGAAAAGTAGTGCATGGCAAACCTAATACTATGGCAGCAGTTGTTAAAATGGTCAGTGAATGAGCTTAATGCACTTATGCCATCTTTCTGTGAAATAAATACAATAGATTTGCACACTGGTTGACACTGGAATCGACAATCCAACAAGCAGTCTGGTCTTCTTTAAGGCAGCAACCTCAAGGTTGCAGCCTTGAAAAAACCAAACCGCTTGTCGAAAAATTGGCTCCAGCACAACAACTCGTGTACAGGAATCTTTCATTTCTTGAAGTTTCCATTTTCCATTGAATTTCTGAATATAGTAAATATGTTGTATATGTATTGGAGAGAGGCTTTACTAGAGATGACTTCAAAAACTCCCACTGTCCCATAAAAATTCTGGCATATATTGGTGCAAAAGATTTTTCCATACTAGTGCCAATTTTGTAAATGATAAGCTAACTCAAATTAGGCATAGTCAAGTTTAATGACTACATAAAAACAAGTAAAGTTATTATACTAGCATTTGCATGTTTTTTTTTGGGGGGGGGGTGTACTTCGAGATCAATTCAATCCCTCCACTCAATTGATGTTCACCTCGATCAGGTTTAAGAAATCGAGACTGTTTGCCAGACTGGCCCAGCAACAGTGCACCATTCATGCAAGGCTAGAATTTTTGTGCACACTAAAGACGTAAACCCCATGTTGTCAGGTCCCAGGCTGTACTGGGTTCCACAGTGTTAGAGAATTCAGATATATATGTCAAGGCTGGTAGAGCATTGATGCACCTGGATGCTATCTGATGCTGTACGTGTGTTCCATGGAGAGTTGGCAGGACATGATTGATGAGAGGATTAAAAGAAGAACAGCAATGACATGCACCAACTTTGTGTCATTATACAAGTTGAGCTTGAAAGTTGTGTTATTTGCATCATAGTTGAAATCCTGCCTTCAAACTTGCTACTGATGGACTCAACCATTTGAATTCTGTCCTACAGCATTTCAGAGGCAGGACATGGCACTATGACGGGATGCTTTGGATGTGTCTTGCGATTCTAGCTGGGAGACCCGGGGCAACTTTTTTTTTTTTTTTTTTTTGCACCTAAGAAGTAAACGAGATCTTGCTTGCACCTCTTTACAGCTCTCTACAGTGGTATTTGAAGGGTTAGTGCTTGTATTCGCGTTCTTGTTTTGTATTCCTATGTTTTTGATGAAGAAATCATTCTGAGAACCAACTCCCATTTTTGCACATTTGTCCCTGTGTGGGCTTTTCACAAGCTCTTGATTTTCGCGCAAGGGTCGGCTTCGCACGTTTTTTCGGCTAGTCAGTACACCAGAAGAGGTTTTTTTTTTTTTTTTTTCCTTCTTCCTTCTCTTTCGTAATACGACGACGCTGCTGTCATCTTTCCTCTGGACTCGTAACCATCGAATGGGACACGATAATGCTTCGATTGTCTCTACCGTCATCCGCAACGCGATGGTGGGAACGAATTCAATAAGTTATGCTAGCATAAACACGGCTCACGATCTCTAACCTTGGCACCGCGCCAGTTCTGTGCGCACTATATCCGCATGCGTGCAGGCAAACATCCCATATACCTGTTGCGCACAATCGCGTCAGCGCTTGGTTTGATTTATACGTATTTGAGCTTGTGTTAAAAAAAAAAAAAAAAGCACACAAGTGCCGGTCCCAAGTGCTTAACCGATCCGAATCCTATCTGTCATTGCGAAACTTGGAAGAGCGATTTCGTACGAGAGCAGTACCCGTACCACTTAAACAAAATCAAACGGGCACTTTTGATCGCGATAGAGACCTAATCAATATGAAATTTCTGTACCGCTATTGGTTCTCTCTCGTATCTCGCAGAAAAGAAGATCGAAAGTGCGCCACTGGCACACGACGAGCGCTAGCGCTTGGACGTCCATAGCCTCTTGAGTTCGGCTTTACCTACTGCCACTTGGCCTTTACCTCAAAAAATAACATTGTGACCACAAAGATCGCAAAGCGCAGATTTGAATACCGTACTCCAAAGAGAATCCTCTACCAACCGACGCCTCATCCGAATCACGAAGGGTGGAGTCGACGGAAGCCGGAAATCACGTGGGCAGGCCGAGGAATTTGGTGGGGCTTTTGCCAGCTCCATGGGTCCGTCACTTGTATGCTACCTGTTCGCGGAAACCGCGGCTCAGATGGAGTTGACAAGCCGTCGAGCGATGCGAGGGCGAAGTGCCTAAGCCGGACTCAACGGGGGCAACTGTTTGCTCATGTGATGTGAAGTGTCTCGGGCGCGGGGACAACGGTTTTGCCTTCCAGACGTTAAGATGGCGTCCGAGCGAGAGCTGAAAGCCGTGGAGCGTATCAACTTGCGAAACACCATCAACCAGTGGAATGCCAATCGTCTCGACCTTTTCGAACTCAGTGAACCGAACGAGGTAAATGCGTGCTGTGCTATGGAGCCGTCCGTCCGTAACGCGAGTGTGTTCTGGCCGTGCCTCGTGTGCGTTCAAAGGTGTCTCGGGGGCCGAGCCGAATCTTGAAGTGTGTCACGTCAAGATGGCGCCTTGGTGCGCTTGCATTACGCGGAGTTGTCGGTTTATTAACGGCTTTGAGAGCTATTTCCGACTCTCCCGAGGGCTCGTTATCAGCTACGGTGCCGGCGACGCCACTGTCATCGGAGTATCCGCGAGCACTGAAGCATGACAGTCGCCGTTAGCGGCGTCCTCGTCCGCAACCAAAACTTGCCAGTTTACGAAGCTTGATATTTTGCTGCTGCCTTACAATGAATCCATCGCTTTTGCAGTAAAGTAAATAACGTGGACGTTTGTGTTAACATTTTTGGTATCTCTAATATATGCTTACATCGGTCCGAGTTATTACTGCTAATTTCACGACGCCGAACGTGAAAACAATTGGTTTCGTGTTATAGTTGCAGACAGTTCTGCGGGCGAGGCAGCTTTCCTTTCAAGTTTGTAATGAAACATGCGTACCATCGCTCGTAGCGTTGTTGGAGTTGCTCAATATTGCAGTTTAAGCAAGCAAAATGGTTTGCCGCTGCCCGGCGTGATCAGCGTACCTGATGCAAGTATGTCTGTGTTCTATGTTGTTATTTTGCACAAGGTTTGACCCATTGTAAAGGCAATGTTTGTTGAAACTTCGGTCATTTCGGCCCACAGACAAGCTAAATGCAACTCATGTTAGGGAGCTGGTAACCCACTGATGAAAGTGAGCATGGGGGAAGGGGGTGTTGTTTCATTGAAAGCACGTTTTTCATTTTATGCAGAGCCTTCACATTAGACCACTTCGATTCAGAGAAGGCATCCAACACAAATGAAAATGAGCATACTCTAATGCATATACCCGCTGAAAAGTTATAGTTGTGGGATGGATTTGTGTGGGCACACACTAATCATCTACAAAATATCAGCAGATGATACAGCCCAGAACATATTGGAAATCACTATTAAAGTGCACATCATTAGTTTTCATGTAAATAGCGAATATCACCATCGTGACTAGTTTGTGTTGACTGTTGCGATCTTTGTGAGTGCTCTCTCCAAGCACACCTTTTCAAATGAAAGGGGGACAGGCTTGCCCAGGAGTACAATTTTTTTGGGGGGGGGACTCACGCATATTCACATTGTCTAAGAGGCCTCCATTGAAATGAGTTGTCAACGCGGTGCTGGTGTGCACACGTCTTTTTCTGAGCACGTATCCAGCTATTTCCAAAGAAAGGAAACGCACAATGGTGAGACAGAAAGTTAGGTGGGCCAATGAGATTAAAAAGTTCGCAGGTATAATGTGGCAGCAAAAAGCACAAGACTGGGTTGATTGGCGGATCATGGGAGAGGCCTTTGCCCTGCAGTGGGCGTAGTCAAGCTGATGATGATGTGATGATGAGCCAGCTATGTTTACACGACAATGACTAATTTCCACCTTCACGTGGTACTCTGAAACAGACAAACTGTGAATGGCAGATATAAAACATCTCCAAACGAGCTTGCTAGCCGTATTAAATGGTTCATCAGCTACTTATTGCAACAGCTGTTGGCAAAAGCGATTCACGAAATTTTTGTGTCTGTGCTTCTTTAAATGGTGCACTGCCCTGTGGCATGTGTTAACATCTTAAACTAACGTAATTAAAATTAACATATCTGTTAATGCTCCAAGTTCCTTACAGCTTTCTTGGTGGAGCTGCACACACTACTAAAGTTATGAAATTTGACATGATATTATGGTGGCTTCTGAAGCGAGCAATTCTTAGGGAATAGAAAATACACATGTATTTGAACTAGTCTGATTTGGGTTCAAGGATAGTAGAATGTAGAAAGAAGAGTGCTGCGGTTGCAGCTTTGAAAAATTAAACAAGTTGGTAAAAGTTCATTATAGTCAAACTACGTAAGTGGGGCCATTCATGAAGAAAGAAGCTTAGACAAACGAGTGCTAACAATTGGGTTTATTGAAAGATGAAAGGAGCCTTTCTATCAGCTTCTGCCCATATGGCATGTCCCCTTAGGAGCTAACCTTTTCGCATTTTGACTGTAATAAACCACTAGCTTGAGTTTATGGCACTCTTTCACATTGTTGCAACTGTAACCTAGGCTGCTGTGATAGTGCCGCTTGCAGACATCACATGAAGGCCTCCCATTAGAGTTGTATGGAAGAAGCAGAATTTTAAGGGCTCATTTTCTCTTGTTTTGCACAACATTATTTAGAATTAACAGACAAGTAAGCCAAGTACAGGGGTGCTATTTGTAATAATTGATATAAGTGAGAAGAAAATAAAATGGACAAAAAGATAACATGCTGCTGGGAGAGACTGAACCTGTGACCTTCAAATAACTCGCCTGTTGCTTGCTAACATGCTTCGTGAGGCCAGCAGGCAGAAATAAGTGTTCCGCACTTGCCATCATAGCTACTACCAGCGCTGAATGGCTCTCTCAACATTTAAATGCACATATATACACTATAAAGTTGACGGGGATAACCACTGCTGTAGCGTCGGTTGGTAGAGCATCGTACATGTTGTTCGAAGGTCGCAGGTTCTTGGCTTTCTTGTCCATTAGTTCTCATTCCTATCAGACTTCTCTGATGAATTGGCTCAATGTTAATTCACAAGGCTGCACATTGGGAGGCAGTGCTTGGTTGATGAAATTGTTGCATTCTTTGTGATGTTTCTTCAAATAGTGAAGGGGAAAGCTTGATTTTCTGATTATCTAGGGACCGGACCATTAGAACTACAGGAGTGTTTCAGCTGACATGAATTCCTTAGATATTTTAGCCCTGAAGTCCAACTGCTACGAAATATCGGACTTCAATTAATTGTGCGTATATAGAGCAAATTCCGTGAAATAGTTTACATCATGAAACAAGTGATACATCACAGGAGCTAGCAAAAACACAAATACTTTTATGCCAAATTCAAAACAACTATGCAAATATGGCTTACTGCAAGTAAGTGAAGGCCCATACAGAACCTAGAATCAATCCCTGTTGTGCTCGGGTGCTGACCTAAAAGTAGGTGGGATCGATCCTGGCTGCAGTTGTCGCAGTTTTACAGACTCAAAATGGCAGAGTCCCACGTGCTGTGTGATGTCTGTGCAAGATAGTCCAAGTTGCTGGAGCCCCCCACTGTGCCATTTTGCATAATTGTATCGTGGCTTTGGCACGTAATACCCTAAATAATAATGCATCTTTCCAGCATTATTTTCAAATTAGTTGGCACCCATGGCACACTGAAAAACATTGGGATGGTTGCCAATTTTCCCTATGCAGGTTGGGACACATCCAGTTGGACTACAACAATCTGTCATAAAAATATAAAGGTGTGCTGCTGTGAAGCCCACTGGGTTTTTCGCTAGGTGCACCGGAAGTATAAATACTTATTTTGGAGCTTGTACACTTACATGCTTTGCAGTGCCAGCATTCCACATTTAAAGGGGTAGGTCAAGCCTAAGGTGACACAAAATCTGCTAATCTCTGTTTCTTGCTCTTATGGCATGTATCTAGTGGGGCGATTGGCAAAGGAACTGGGAAGAGTATAAATGGCATTTAGTAAAACCTTGAATCACTGTGTGAATCTGGCTGGCGGGTGTTTTGAAATGAGATTCATGAAACTCGTGACAGGATGACTAGGTCGCAGACATATCATCCGAATTGAAACCCTATCTGTTCTGCATGTTAGCTAATTAATGCATAAGGCTTTACTCCGTATGTAAAATACAGAGGTTTCTGCTAGCAAGAGTATGTGCTTCTCTATGTGGAAGAGGGTGCCAGGTAAGAATAGCTAAGTGATGCATTATCGCTCCAAATTGAAGGGAAATTTCAAACGTACTTCATCTTTACTGAAGTAGTTGTAAGCCTACCCAGAAGTAATGAGTGATTTGGCGACATGAGAAGCAGGGCAACAAACTAAAATAGAAGAACAACAACACTAGGCTTTATACAGGAAGATAACTTATATGTATTTTTGAATAAAAATTACTATGCCTAGGCGTAGGCTTTCAAAAAAAAAATAACATTTTTGTGACAGCTGAACTGGAATAAGTGAAAATTTAAGTCTTTGGTTCATATTCAGGAAGCATGCAGGAGTCAAGTAGTTTCCATATTGTGAAAGCTTCTAGTGTCTGAAAGAAGATTCATTTCTGCCCTATGGTCAATTTCAATTGCGCAGTGATATGTTAACTGAAATGTGTATGATATTGGTGTAAACTGAATTTCAGCAACTGCTGTCTCGCAGCCTCTTAGGGACTTCAAAATGAATTTTGAGAATTCTTCAACATTTAGGCTATAGCATCATCAAATCATTCACGTCATACATTAAGCTATGCAGTTTTCACATGTTATCCTTCTTGGCATTAGTTTTCCACAGCCAGTGACAGCAGCACGCTCGACAGGTTAATCTACGCTTTCTTCGGCATGACCTCTGCAATCAACTGTGGCAGTGCGAAAACAAATTGCAGAGGCCATGTAAAAATAAATGCATGGTTGAGATTTACTCCATGTGCTGCAGCAATGCCAATCATTTGCATAATCTGCAAATGCTGAGAGGCACGCAAACAAGGTATCCGAGTACAATCACCAATAAGCGTAAACTTGTGACTATGGTGCTGGTGTCTTCAGGGTGAAGCTATTGCCAAATATGTGTGGTTTGCGGCATTAATAGTATGAGGAGAGCCCGATGCTTGCTGCACTGGTTAGATGAAACAGCTCTGCTTGCCCATCGACTTCCATGCTTTGCACATTATTGCAGCTGTATGAGTCATCGATTGCTAGCTGTGCAGGTAGGGCTACTCATGGTGTTTTAGTTAACAAACCTCAATATAAACTTAATCCCGTAGCTCGTATCAACATGGACGTTGTAACCGTAGTGGTAATGCAGGCAGATGACGCTGTCTACTGCAGGCACCCATGTCTGGTAGTAAATTGTGATTGTTCGTGCATTCTCTTTCTTTTAGAGCTCTTGCTCAAACAAAACAAATTACGAAGTGCTCTGTTTGTCGTCCAGTATTAAGTGAGAAAAATGGGCAGTGACATAGATTAGTCGCATCTAGTCAGATTGGCTGCTGGTGCTGTTTATAATGGAAATAGTGCTAATATGATGGAATTGAATGGCAGAAAACTCATTTGGTTGCACTGCCATGATCTGCAGCAATGCGCATGTTTTAAACCTTCTAATAACTACACCTAACACTGAGAGCTGAACTTAGTCTGGAAATAATCCTTATGACTTGCCTCCTGAAAAAATGCTTTCGCATTAAAATGTCAGAATCATTTCAAGGTCTCAAACCATGTACAATTATACTTTCAATATCGGTGGGAGCCATTTTTGCCTTGTCTTTGACTGTCCATAGACACCATGCATCAAGTTACATTCACAATAGTATAAGTTTGGCCTTGCTGATCTTGTATTTTAACTGCTGATTGGCACACGAAAAAAACAGGGCTCATGCATTCCTTTCACTGAATTTGTATTTTTGGTACACGAGCTAAATAAGCCCCGCCGCCGCGGTGGTCTAAGGGGTAAGGTACTTGGCTGCTGACCCGCTGGTCGTGGGATCGAATCCCGGCTGCGGCGGCTGCATTTCCGATGGAGGCGAAAATGCTGTAGGTTCATGTGCTCAGATTTGGGTGCACGTTAAAGAACCCTAGGTGGTCGAAATTTCCGGAGCCCTCTTCTACGATGTCTCTCATAATCATATGGTGGTTTTGAGACATTAAATCCCACATATCTGTCTAACACGAGCTAAATAACTATTTTTGGTGTGTACCATGTACCATGTATAAAAAAATGCACCAATGCTGTGATTTTTTTTTATGTAAAAATATTCATTCATGGTGGTGATAATTTGTGTTCTACAATTAAATGTGATAGACATGTTTGAACTGTTGCAAACCAATAGCTTTTTTTTTTCTTTTTATCTCCAAATCACAAAGTCGCCCAAAAGCTACCCTCCTGTGTTGGTGTCCTGTTGCTGGTAGTGCCGTAATAAAAATTTTTGTATTGCAAAAAATAGTTTAAGGTGCATTCACCATAGAGGTCAGCTTAACCAGGAGACTATTAATGGAACTTGTCATTGTCATTCGCATGCCACAGTAGCCTAGCGGCTTAGGTGCTATGCTTCTAAGCTTGAGGTTGCAAGTTTGATTCCTAGCCACAATGTGTCTCATAATAACATTGTATAGTTTGGCTTGTAAAATTCCTAGTTTTTTTTTTCTTTTTTTTTAATTGTCCCTGTTTATATTTATTGTAGTGTTGAAGCACCACTGTCTGAATATTGCTATGTATTGTAACATATTGTGGTTTCACGCATAGCAATCGCAACCATCTCAGATGCTCTCTGATTGGGCGCAGTGATATTTTGATGTTTTGAGAGATATATTCATTAAGGTGTTGGCACATTGATAAGTTTCACATACAAAGCTGGTTTGCAAGGGGACAGGCTGTGCAGCACTGTGGTGAGATTTCATTACTTGACATGGAAATGCCGTTTGATGAAGTGATAGTATCTTGTGCTCTATTGATGGTCTAAGTAAATTGTCGGAGCAGAAGTCCTGCTGCTATACTTGCAAACAGCTCAAGAAACAAGCAACTTTTCACTGGCAAAGGACCCCCCTCCAGCCAACGATGTGGTTGTGTCATCATGACCCCATAGTCAACTGCCTTCGCGCCGCACTCACGAAAGAAATCGCAAAGTAGCTTGTCAAAGCGGGTCACAAAGCGGCCGCAACACCATTGGCTGGAGGAGGGTCCTTTGAAGTCGTAATGCCACTTGTTTTCTTGAGTTGTGTTCGAGTATCGAAACAGCTATTTGGGCGGTCGTTTAGTTACATTGCGACTTTGACAAGACCAAGACCACTTGATGTTGACTTGCCGCTGCGCCAATTGCAGGACCTGGAGTTCCATGGTGTGATGAGATTCTACTTTCAAGATGCGGACCAGAAGGTTGTGACAAAGTGCATACGTGTTTCAAGCACAGCCACTGTCAATGATGTTGTTGGCACACTCATTGAAAAGTTCCGTCCAGACATCCGCATGCTGTCAGTCCCGGACTATGCCCTCTACGAAATACACGAGAATGGAGGTAACTCTTCGGTTATTTTCTCCACTTTCTTTGACAAATGGCTCTTGACACCTGATTTGAGGGATGTTGTTTTTGTTATAAAATAATATTTATGGCATACCCAGTTTTTGACACGAAAATTGACTGTATCTGAAGATGTGATGATAGCCTTGAGCATGGCGAAGGCCTTGAGGACTGGATATCTTATCTCTGTAATCTCTTATCTCTTGAGGACTGGTTTTCTTATCTCTGTAATGCCCTCGGGCCCTGAGAGTATGAAAATAAATAAAAATAAATAAATAAATAAATATGTTGTCTTTCACATTGTGCTTCTTCTGCGTGTTGTTTGTTCATCGTACTAGGACTGCCTTGAACAGCAATATTGGTTGCTACCTATTACAGCTACCCATCACAGTGGTCTAAGGTTATGCTTGTCTGCTGAATCTCAACAGCGGTAGCTGCATTTTTGATGGAAGCAGTAATGCTTAAGGCTTGTGCACTTATATCTGGGTGCACATTCAAAGAAATCAGGTGGTTGAAATTTCTGAAGCCCTCTACTACGGTGTCCCTAATAATCTCGGATATCATCATGCCTATTACAGTTGCTGTGACAACTTTGCATGCTTAGGAACCTGAAATGGTCAAAATCAAGCCAGAGTTTGTGGTGTACACGTATCCCGAAGGAGTATGGCCACCAGCATGGGTCCGGTCTTAGCGAGCCGCAGGGCACGCGTTAACCGTCGCCGTGGCGAGAACACGATACTGCTCAAAGTCGCAACACTTTATTGTGGCAACACCAAACGCAGTACAGCCCGTTGCAAAAGGCGCGACGGGAAAGCAAATAGGCTTATCCACGCCACGGGCACAAAAGTACTACACAGAGTGCCACGAGCACGTCTCCGCGGTAAAGGTGATCCACGGAGACACCGGGACCAAGGCCCGGTTGCTCGAGCGAGGGCAAAGGCGCTCGCGTTGGCTTCGAAGGGAGACGGGTCGGCGTAGCGAGGCCACGCACTAGGACACCGTACCGCCCTTCGGCCGTGCGTACGCAGCGGGGCAACAAAAGGTGAGCGTTCGCCTTGGACGCGAGGCGCCGTCATCGAAGTCCGACGAGCCCCGAGCGACGGTAGTCGACGAACGGAAAAGATTGCATGGCTCACCGTTTGCAGTCCCGGAGACTATCTGTCCGCTTCCTGACGCAGCGCGCGAAAACCTCTCGGGAGGCTCCACGCGCGGCGCCACAGTCAACATCCGCTACCGGGTGAGGGAGTTAAATGTCACTCGCTCTCTCAGCGCGGCAGACAGCAAAGGAGGGCAGACATGTCGGGACATGAGAACGGCAGAAAATGCGGCAAAGCCCGCGCAAAGGCAGCGGGCTAGCCTAAATTCCCACAAGTTTCTCCCCATAGCATGCCTCATAATCATATGGTGGCTTTGGCACGTAAAACTACTGATATTGAATGTCACTTGTACCCACAGAGGAACGCAAGCTAGGACCTGACGAGCGCCCTCTCCTGGTGCAACTCAACTGGCATCAAGATGACCGTGAGGGCAGATTCCTCTTTCGACGCATGGACCACAAGTCTCGGGTGAGGCAGCCATTGGCCTCGCAGCAGACCTTTCTTGCCTTTAAAAGTGATAACCTATCAGTGTCAAGCTAATGTGCTTGCAGCAATTTTGAGGAAACTCTAGCTGCTTATAAAAAAAGGAAAAAAAAATGTTGAGAAATGGAAGATGAAAGCTTGTGATGATAAAATCAGTTGGCAGAGAGCTTTGCAAGAAGTTTGGTGCCCTTAGGGGACTCATGGGTAACTGTTTTTTTCAGCTACCAACGCTCAAGGTGGAATCGTTGCGGTTCGGTCGCAAACTTTCTCGCAGGGAGCACAAGAAAAAGAAGAACAAAGAAGTGGTAATGTATTGATTTTTTTACTTGTATGCACAGTAGAGATGCCTGCTGGCCAACCCTGCAAAATTTTTCATGAGGTCTATGAACTTTGCCCTGTGTTACTGACGTTGTATTATGTTCTATGAAAAATAAATTTACGTTTGAAGGTATTGATTGTAAGAAGACATATGCAACTTGTTCATTCGCTTGGATTTGAGATAAGTCTCGGAGCAGGTAGGAATAGTGAAAGCAGATCTGTTGGAAAAGTCAGTATGATCTAGAAACAGTGTTAAGCTTTTCGAAGAGCTCAACAGAGTACACTGTTTGCATTGTGAAGCACTCTCTTCTGAATTTCCTGCTACCTTTGTACATTGTGTAATGTGCTCACAGGTTGGCAGTGTAATTGTTTGAGATAAGAGCACAAGATAAAATAGAAGAGAAGGTGAGGGCAGGAGGTCTGTTTTTTTATGTTGCTTGTACAAAAGAGTTGTGTTAGCAAAGCACTGAACTGCCTGCAGTGTGCTGAAACTGCTTGTGAAGTTTTTGTCTATGCGTTGACTTGCAGCTTGCAGTGATTTACTGGTTCAGATTTTGACAAACAACTGTGAGCTTTAGCTAAAATGCAGTTGTTTGGAGCACGATTTTGTGGCAGTCTCTCTTCTGTGCCATTTCTCTTTTGTGCGCTTCATTGGTAGTTGGAGTAACGCTCTGTTTGCATTATCGAACATATCAGTCAGCCGTGAAGGTGCATGGTGGCACTAGTGAAATACGGGAAAGTGCCACTTGTGGTGTACACGTATCCCGAAGGAGTACGGCCACCAGCGTGGGTCCGGTCTTAGCGAGCCGCAGGGCACGCGTTAACCGTCGCCGTGGCGGGAAACACGATACTGCTCAAGTCGCAACACTTTATTGTGGCAACACCAAACGCAGTACAGCCCGTTGCAAAAAGGCGCGGCGGGAAAGCAAGTAGGCTTATCCACGCCACGGGCACAAAGTACTACACAGGGGTGCCACGAGCACGTCTCCGCGGTAAAGGTGATCCACGGAGACACCGGAGCAAAGGCCCGGTTGCTCGAGCGAGGGCAAAGGCGCTCGCGTTGGCTTCGAAGGGAGACGGGTCGGCGTAGCGAGGCCACGCACTAGGACACCGTACCGCCCTTCGGCCGTGCGTACGCAGCGGGGCAACAGCGGGTGAGCGTTCGCCTTGGGCGCCAGGCGCCGTCAGCGAAGTCCGACGAGCCCCGACTGACGGGAGTCGACGGACGAAAAGATAGCGTGGCTCACCGTTTGCTGTCCCGGAGAGTATCTGACCGCTCCCGACGCAGCGCGCGAAAAACCTCTCGCGAGTCCCCGCGCGCGGCGCCACAGTCCACATCCGCTTCCGGGTGAGGGAGTTAAACGTCACTCCGCCCTTCCCAGCGCGGCAGACAGCAAGGAGGGCAGACATGTCGGGACATGAGAACGGCAGAAAAGGCGGGAAAGCCCGCTTAAAGGCAGCGGGCCAGCCTCAATTCCCACACACTACAGAATTTTATGCATTGGGACTTCGTAGATTGTCACACCTTGTTTTTGGGTATTAGAGAATGCTTTTGTGTCCCGACAGTGATGTTCCTTTTTTTAGGTCCCTGGAATGAAGAGGGTATAGCGCTCTTGGTATTGCTATTAGCGCTGAGTAATGAATTACTCTTGTTTCCACCTCAGTTGTCATGTTGGTCTGATTTTGACTCGCTTACGTCAGATCCAACATTATATTTAGCGTCCATTTTTGTAGTGGCATGATGTGATTATCTCAAGCAAGGACATTCAGCGCAGAGCAATTCTTGTCTTTTACAAGAGGTGTCTTTTATAAGCAGGGTACAACGCTCGGGTTTTCTTATCAACCCCCATTTCAATCTATGTGCGCTAGTGTCTCATACCCATTTGTCTGTTACGTCAGTGTTTCTTACAAAGGCGTTCGACTGTAGAAGCTTTAATACTCAGAGTTTTTCTGTCTCATTTCAATTCATGAGCATTGTAGTCATTGGCTTAAAAAGCATGTGTGTGAAAGCTGCGAGTTGAAGTCGGGTTTCAGGAATTTGGTGATGATGTGCTTGTTCCTTCATGATGTGGCTTCCAGGCTCAGACAGAAGAGAAAGATGGAATAGCCGAGAAGCTTTACACCGAGCTGCCGGAGACGAGCTTTACACGCTCAATCTCCAATCCAGAAGCCGTGATGCGCCGTCGACGGCAGCAAAAGTTGGAACGCAAATTGCAGCAGTTTCGGCAAGAGGGAAACCCTGAAGCTGGCAAGTGGCATTAGCACTCTTGCGCAATGCTGACCCAACTCATCTTCCTTTTGCCAGTGCTTGGTATATTTATGTCTTTGTTCCCGTGCTATTTTAGTGTTCAAAAGAACAGTTTGGGAGGTCAGTGGTTCATAATATGTGCTGTAGCACAAATTGGCAGCACATTATGCACGTACATTCGGCACATGTGCTGCATAAAAATTTATGCTCGTATAAAGTCTACTGCTGTTAATTCAACCTGGAAGGGAATGGCAAGATTGATTAAATTATCTGGGGAGCTGTAATTGGGCTGAATGCAGAAAAAAGAATATCAAAATGTGCCGCATATTCACTTGGCAGTTTTAGACCCAATTGAACCACACCGCAAAAGTCCAACACTGCTTCATACTTTATGGGTCTTGTGTGGAAAACGAGCCTCAAAATGACATTAGGGCATTCTAGTTGCAAATTGTAGGTGCACTTGATTTTAGGGAGAAAAATAGCATATACATGATACTCAGAACAAAGCAAAGCCAGTAATGTTTTCCTGTTTTTGTAAATCGTGACGTAAATTAATAAGGTCACAAAACATTGTATGCACTATGAACCGCTTCTATGTATATGTGTCTACTGTAACACTGTTCGTTTAGTTGTTAAACATGTAAAACACAAAGGTTAACAGCCTAATATGATGGCATTCAGACACACCCGTTAAGTAGTTTATAGGATAAGGGGCCGAGCTGAAATTATATGGTGAAGACTACTAATTTTAGGATTAAAATAACCATGGCTTGTTCCCATAGGAATGTGTGGAAGTGGTGACTGGAACGTTAGACTGAAATTGAATCAACATGAAAGATGGATAGAGCAGTGTGGAATTAATTAATCTTTCGTAGTGAGTTTTGTTTGTTCTCTTTGTTTTATGGAAGTTTTTGTGTTGTGGAAAAAGTGGCAGTTCTGCTTACAGTCAGCGAAAAATTTACGTGTTTTGGCGACACACTGAAGAGGCCTAAAACACATATTTGGATGCTTCAATGAAATAGTTTTCTTTTTTTGCAAGATTAGCTCGTTGTTACTTGCTGGAACCTCTGCAATTGCATTTGCGCGCAGGTGGTACGCTGCGTATCTTTGGTGAGTCGCTGAATCGTGATGTACCATACAAGACTCTGCTGCTCTCCACGACGGACACTGCGGCACATGTAGTTCGAGAGATACTGGCCAAGTATGGACTAGAGCAGGAGGAGCCTCAGCACTACTGCCTGGTCCAGGTGCTGGTGCCCCCGCCTCCAGGGGGCTTGCCCAGCCCACAGGATCCTCCCACTGGAGGACTCAAGGAATTTATCCTGGATGACGATGACTGTCCTCTGTCCATCGAGAGGCAGCACAATCGCATGAAAGGTGGGTGCTCTCTACGATCAGTGATGGCATCCACTTCTAATTGCGATGGAAGCAAGTAATTAACATTAGCACCCCATCTTTGTGATTGCTTGAAGATTAAACTTTCTGGATTTCTTTAAAACGAGGTCTGACGATGGCATAGTAACCTCAAGCTTACGCAGGCTTGGTGCATGTACAGCCGTCAGCAGCTTTAACTCGAACGCTCTGATGCGTTAGCCTAGGCTCGCTTGAAGTGAGGTCAGCGCCATCAAGCGTTGAACATAATATGCTTGCTATCACAGACCGAAGATTTGCAGCCTGTGTTGTTGAATTGTTCTTAAAAAGCACTATTTCCATCACGAAAATATGCCAAGCGATGTTTGAAGTCTGAAGTTATAAAACTTAAGATGTTCGCTGCAGAAACTGTCCACTGTAAAAAAAAATACAAGTATCCACACAACCCATGGATGACCAATGGTCTTCTAAAGAGTTTAAGGAAGAAAGGAAATATGTATAAAGAAAGAAGCGACAGCCCTTTAATATGCGTACTTGCTAAACGATACAAGTCTATTGCAATCTATTAAATACCTTGCTCAAGCAAGCGAAAAAAAAGGTACTATGAAAATGAATTCGACAAGAATAGGACTAACCCCAAAAGGCAGTGGCAGTCGCTCAACTCATTCCTTAACAAGTCATCTGCTAATGTCCCTCTAACCAAAATCGACTACAATGGCTCCACCTTCTCTGAGCCCAAAGAAATTGCCAATGCCTTTTCGGAATACTTTTCTTCCGTCTATACTAACCACCGCCCCCATGCGCAGTCGTATACTTCTCTGAGACGTACCACGCAGTCCTTCTTTCTTTTCCCAACAACACCACAGGAAGGCTTTTTCACTATTGCTAATCTTAAAAATACAGGGCCTGGGTTAGATGATATTTGTGTAAGGCATTTAAATCTGGTTGCGCATTTAGTTTCCGATAAGCTGTGTTTCCCTCAAAAATCATTTTCTCGGATAACCTTACTTGTGATCGTTTACCTGTTTGACTCGTTTGTTCTTCGTTTTTTTATACCATGTTGCGTGTTTTGGCTTGATTTGTGATATAAAAGTGCATTTTGATGTCAATATTTGATGTCCGTATATTGTAAGAATTTTCTGTTGCTCTGTAGAAATTTTACCGTCGATTTGTATCGACAAACCGAGGGTCCCACTTAAGTCTCTGGCTCTGGGACCCTCGTCTGTATATCTTAGATTTTGTACCTTGTTTTTGGAAATAATAAAACTTGAATTCGAAACTTGAAAAAAAAAAAAAAAAAAGTCTGCTGTAAAGGAGTCCTGACCAGCTTGCTGGCCTCACATTTTAGTCAATTATATCCAAATGTCCGTTGTACCAGAATCCGTAGTAAACAAAGCTCAATCAATGGATCAAATAGGCAGGTCGGCATACCGCCGCCAATAAGTATGCTGTATCTGAATGTTTGTTGTCAGCATATTCGATGTAACGAGGTTATACTGTAATTGTGCACTACAACTGGAACGAAAGATTGGAGAGACAAGGTACTTGTCGAGCTTGCTCGGTTGCCAGCTTTGTTTGCCAACGTTCAGTGTCTTGTGCAGGGACACTATCCTTCCACATACGGCGGCGGCCTGCAGACTACCAACCCCGAAAGCGCAAGAAGAAAGCACCAAGTGGTGGTGGGACAGTGGCCCCGGAAGAGGGCCTTCCCTTTCTGCAGGAGGTGCCTCAGGGGGGTGGACCGCCAGGCCCCTGCCACCCGATTCCCCTCCACATGACTGAAATTGGCTCGGCACCCTCTGGAAGCCAGGGGCTCCATGTGCGTAGTACTCTCAAGTTCAAGCAATTCTAACTATACTAGCCTTTACAAATTTCTGTAGTCTTGGTGAATGTGTGTGTGGCTGTGCTCTGAAAGCCATATAATGGCAGGTTTCTTTGCGACATTCATCGTCTGTTGTCTGCCTCACTTCATGGTGACCTTTGTCAGCACCGAGTTGGTGTTACTTGAGACTGCCGGATGAGTCTGAGGGCCAAAAGTTTGCAACAGCAACTAAGAAAGTAGCCGCATCAAAATGCTAGGCATGTGTTTGTACAGCAGGGAATATTGATACAGTAGAATCTCCATGATTTCATTACGGTTGATGCGAATTTCACGATGATAAGAATTTTAAGGTTGTTTTGGATGGACTACATTATATAAAATAATCCGTGATTCGGTATTATATGAATGGTTTCCCCAGCCATCGCGGATGATACAAAGGTGCGATTGACCGCTGCATGGCAGCGGTGCAACGCACCAAAAACACGCCGCGAGGCTGACACGAAAAAATCGGTCCGAGACCCATTTTCCCACCACACGATAGCATAGTATCGCCTTTTTGCTTCACGGTTTTGGCTTCACTGGCTGCTTTATCCATGAAGGAAGGAAAAACTTCTTCCTCCATGGCTCTATCTCTTAAAGCACAGGATGCCAACAACTAGCCCCAAATCAACATGGCGGCGAAGGCATCGGCGTTGGGTCACGTCGCCGCTATCGCGAACTATCCGCGCAGCACGTCAAAGCTCACACCCTTGATAAGGACGCGGTCGTCGAGAGCCTGATTTGGATTACTATCGCTGATAACGCCAGAAGTAGAACAAGGTACAGCAGCAGCGAGCTGGCTTGCCCGAACGTGTCTTGCTTTTGCACTGCTGGCTTAATTCGTCGCCGCCGCTGTGTCCGCTCGTGTCATTTCGGCTGGCATGTCCAAATAAAGTTAGTAAAGGTGTAAATTGTTTCTTTTCAGTGCCTTGTATGCATAATTATAACTCGGTACGAACTTCAGTGCTGAGGAAACGGGCAAAATGGAATGAATTCTCAAGCGGCGATGGCAGCAAACATTTTCGGCGAGTGCGGTCGTGGTTTTCGGCTGTGCTGGCTTGAATTCTCCAATACGAGTTCTCCAGGACTCACATTTTTTTTGTGTCGACTTCGCGCGCGGTGTTTTTGCGGCTGCTTAAGCGGGGAAGTGAGTAAATTTCGAATGAGGTAGGCTGCTTTCGCTCGCTCTGGTGTGAACTGTGAACGTGCTGCGCCAGCAGTGTGAGTGAGGAAATCGCAGCACTTAAGAGACGGTGAAGGCAGGAAAGTTCAAAAGATCAGACTTTTTTTCAGCAAGGTGTAGTTGCCAATGAAGTTCCTGTTCATCATTTTTATCAGCTTTAAGTTAGTTGTTTTTGGTTCATACGAATTCGGGCTGATACGAGTATTTTACATGCTCCCTTTGAATTTGTATCATCGAGATTCTACTGTGTAGATTTTAGTCGGTATAGTAGGTTTTTAAATTATTAGTCGGCAACTGTGCATACAAACTGGTTCGTCAACAAGTCTCCTGTTCTGTTAGCGCAGTTTAGTTGGCAGTCCCATACAGTAAATGCTCTGCTGATCATCTGTTCTAACGTGTTCTGTAATTTTTTATGCCCGCAGCTCCAGGGACCAGGCATCCTGCCACGGCACTGCGTGATAGCACACACAGAGGGTGTGGTTACAGTGACGCCCAGTCAACCAGAAGCTGAGACCTATGTCGATGGTGCACGGGTGTTTGACACCACGCTGTTGCAGCATGGGGCCACGGTTCGCTTTGGCCGCAGTCACCTCTTCCGCTTCTGGCAAGCGCCACCTACTCGGGCACCTGCCCCGCCCCCCGGGTCACCCGCTGCCATGGGTGAAAACCACCGGCCGCCACACGAAGAGGACCATAGGCTGTGAGTGCTTATCTGTACTAGGGCTAGTAATTGAGAGGTATGGTCTGCTATACTCCGTGACAACTTTTCTTGACAGCACTGTGGAAGCTACAGAACCAAAGCACATGCCTGCTACCATGCTAAAAAGTACACTCAAACCTCGTTATAACGAAGTTGAAGGGGAGCCACAATTATTTCGGTATATTCATTATTTCGTTATATCGATTATAACAGTTTGTGGCTATGTATGCTCATACGGGCGCACTCCTATAAGCATGCAAATAAGGAAACCGCCTTGCGGCCCAATGTACCGCTACGCGACCACGCGTGCCACGGAAAATAAACTCAGTCGAATCTCATTAATTCGAACTTTTCGGTAATTCGAACTCGCGCTGAGGTCCTGTCAAAGCTATGTGTATTCCAATAGGCAAAAACGTCCTTTAATTCAAACGTGTAAGCACTTGTGACTGTTAATTCGAACATACTGCGCTCTGAAAATGCTCTCAGCACCATGCCCAATCCCGCGGCGGCACCTCTCAATTGTGCGCGCGAAAAATAAAAAGAAAAGGAAAGAAAACACTGTGGCAAATTGCTTCCTCTCTCTAATGCCGATCTGCGATGCGCCTGTTTCATGTTTCTCTCTTTTCCGTCTCTGCACGTAGAGACCCTTCTCCTTTCAAGGCTGCTTGTGCAGGGAGGGGAAAAAAAAGAACGTTGTCGCGGAGAGTCTTCCTTTCTCGGTGCAGAGTAAGCAGCCATGGTAACAGCAGAGACGCAGTCGTTGCCATCATGAGAGGGAAACAGCTTTGCCCCGCAGCGCCGCTTCTCGGTCATGGGACCCCCTGAGCGCTTCCTCAGTCCTCTCCGCTGGCTGTGTGAGGAGGACTGCTCTCTCGGCCGCACGGGGCATGGCTGTAAGGTCGGCGCAGAAGTTTAGAAAGAGCCGCACTGATTGAGCGCCAAACTCTGCAGAAAATACTATACTTAACACACTACGGTCGTTTTTTTTGATAGACTACTTGATTGACTAATTTAGTTCATTATATCCATTTACTGGTCAATTTTAGTTTGTTACAACGAGCTTTAATATGCATGGTTCTCAATGGAGTTTTCAAGGGAAATTTCATTTACTTTGTTATATCCATTATTTAATTATATCCTGTGTACCGAAGCATAGTGGCGCCAGCTCTGTGCCAGCGTGAAAGAAGACGTTGACGTCCGTGTGTGGCTGGTGCTTGCCGGGTTCCTGCCTGTACCAGCTTGTTGCGGCTAACGTTTCTGGAATAATAACCTGTGTTTTTACGCAACCTTGCTCGTTGCATTTGGTGGAAACGTGCTGGGTAACGTCCTGGAGCTCCGCAGCCGTAAGCTACCATCTCAGTCCACGATGACCGAGCGCGTCGATCCCCCACAAGGCTCTTCCACGCTGCCACCCGTCATGTGTTCTGGTGTACTTCGTCTGCGTGACCCACCAGTATACAACGGCGCTGAAGATCAAGATGTCGAGGACTGGCTGGCAGAGTACGAGCATGCCAGCGCGATTAACAAGTGGGATGACCCTGCGAAGCTGATTCACGTCATCTTCTACTTGACGGATTTGGCCAACCTATGGTTCACCAACCACCAAGCCGACATCCCCACCTGGTCGGTTTTCAAAGAGGCCATCACCTCGTTTTTCGGTCGTCCAGCCATGCGTAAGCTTCGCGCTGAACTGGGACTGCGGGGACGATTTCAGCGAAATGGTGAGAGCTTCACAAGCTACATTGAGGATGTGATCAGCCTCTGTAGGCGAGTTGATGACAGGATGACGGAGGCTGACAGAATAAAGAACATAATGAAAGGCATTGATGACGATGCTTTTCATATGCTTGTGGCCAAAGACCCACAGACCGTCACGGCCTTGACTCAGTTGTGTCAAAGTTTCGATGAGCTGCGCAAGCAACGAGTTTCTACACGTCGCGCTAATACGCAGACAGCTGATATTTCGGCCTTGGAGTGCAAAAGCAGTGGCCCCGACTACAGCGTGTTAATGCCTCAAATTCAACAGTACATCCGGGAGGAAGTTGCTCGACAGCTCTCTCTTGTCGCCACCATCAACGAGACCCCCACAACACTGGACCACTCACTTCGCCGTGCTATTCAGACGCAAGTTGCCGAGGCTCTCCCTTCGCCCACATCCCCAATATCAGTGGCTGCACCGCTGACTTATGCAGAAGCCGTCCGCCGACCTTCTGCCCAACCGCCGCTCCCTTCATACAGTCCATCCACCAACTACTACAGGTCACCAGTTTCAGTTTATCCGGTAAATCGGCCCATTCCACCACCTCGAGCACCTGCCAACTCTTGGCGTACTCCGGATAACCGGCCCATCTGCTACAACTGTGGTATTCCAGGACATGTCGCGCGCTACTGTCGTCGCCGTGGATTCTATTTTAATGATGTGCAGCATTCCGGCAACATACCTCGGCCATCAGAATCGCATGTGACACCTGATTCGCATGACCCCCGCTCACGTCGACCAGACTTCAGCCGACGTCGATCTCCTTCACCCCGTCTTCGGTCTCCTTCCCCCATGCTTCGCCGTTCCAACCACGCCCAGGAGGAAAACTGACAGTCGCAGTTCCTGAGGCAAGAGCTGCGCCACCGACGAAATTTCCAAGGCCTCATCTATCGCCCCCTAACGAGATTGCCGTGTTTGTGGACGGTTTCGCCACAACTGCTCTTGTCGACACAGGTGCCGCTATTTGTATAATCAGTGAAGTGTTATGCCGCAAACTGAACAAAGTGACGACTCCACTGGTTGAAATTTCTTTACGCACGGCGAGTTCGCAACACGTCCAACCTTCTGCCACATGCACTGCTCGTGTTGTGATTCAAGGGGTGCTTTACATCGTAGAATTTGTCGTCCTTCCGCATGCGTCGCATGAAATCATCCTGGGATGGAACTTTCTTTCCGCTAATCATGCGGTTGTCGACTGCGCTCGTGCTCAACTCGTTTTGTTTCCATTCAGCACGACATTCATAGATCTCCCTCGCTCACCCAAAAAGGTGATCGTCGCCGCTGACGTCGTCATTTCTGCTTTTTCGGTCACCGCGGTATCTCTTTTGTGCAACTCCGTTTCCGATTCAACTGCCCTATTTATGCCGTCACAAGAATGCGCTCGTCGCCGGAACCTTGTCGTCCCGTTTGCCGTCATAACACTTGCCGATGGCTCCAGTGCCGTGTACGTGTGCAATCCGTTCCCTTGTCCCGCTACCTTATTGCATGGCGAATGCATTGGAAGTCTTGACACTTATGATGACATCTTTCCTTTCGATGCCCGTTCTGATACGACACCGATGTCCGTGGATGCTGTCACAGCTGGCACCGCGCCCTCACTACCTGACGAAGACGTTTTGTTGCGCAGCGTAGACACCGGCCTTACGCAAGACCAGCGCAATCAGCTCATTCAACTACTTGACCGTTTCCGCGCCTCCTTCGACCACGGACAACCTTCCTTGGGACGCACGTCAGTTGTCGCTCACCATATCGACACCGGTCATCATACTCCACTTCGTCAGCGCCCCTACCGCGTCTCGCAGGCCGAGCGTGACGTCATCACTCAACACGTCGACGAGATGCTGCAACGTGGTGTTATTCAGCACTCACACAGTCCTTGGGCTTCGCCAGTGGTCCTCGTGCGAAAAAAGGATGGCTCCATCAGGTTTTGCGTGGATTATCGTCGACTAAACAACATCACACGCAAGGATGTTTATCCCCTGCCACGCATTGATGACGCCTTGGATTGCCTTCAAGGTGCGGAGTTTTTCTCTTCACTGGATCTGCGCTCTGGATATTGGCAAGTACCAATGGCTGAACCAGACCGTCCAAAAACGGCGTTTGTGACCCCTGACGGCTTATATGAATTTAATGTAATGCCCTTCGGTCTTTGCAATGCGCCTGCGACTTTTGAAAGAATGATGGACAGTGTCCTCAGGGGACTTAAATGGCACATCTGTCTTTGCTATTTAGACGACATAGTTGTATTCTCGGCGAATTTCGAAACTCATCTTTCCCGTCTGGAACAAGTTCTCCAGTGCCTTACGGCAGCCGGGTTGCAACTTAACTTCAAGAAATGTCGTTTTGGCGCCCGCAAACTCACAATTCTCGGCCACGTCGTTTCAAAAGAAGGAATATTGCCAGATCCTGCCAAACTGCGTGCCGTTGCTGAGTACCCCAAGCCTACTACCCTAAAGGAGCTTCGTAGTTTCATAGGCTTGTGTTCCTATTTTCGGCGTTTCATTCGCAATTTTGCCTCTATAATTGCCCCTCTGACTCAGCTTCTCTCCCGTAGCACGGACCTCTCTGGCTGGAATTCCCACTGCGATGAGGCATTCACGGCGCTACGCCGGCTACTCATCTCTCCGCCAGTTCTCCGCCACTTCGATCCCAATGCACCCACTGAAATTCACACGGATGCAAGCGGTGTCGGCCTCGGTGCCATTCTCGCTCAACGCAAGGATGGCTGCGACGAGTACGTTGTCGCCTATGCCAGCCGTACACTAACGAAGGCAGAGTCCAACTATTCCGTCACGGAAAAGGAGTGCTTGGCTATCATTTGGGCTATAGGAAAATTTCGCACCTACCTTTACGGACGCCAGTTTGATGTTGTCACAGATCACCATGCCTTATGCTGGTTAGCGTCCATGAAAGATCCTACTGGCCGCCTCGCTCGTTGGGCTTTACGCCTTCAGGAATACGATATCCGTGTTGTTTATCGCTCAGGACGCAGACATTCAGACGCCGATGCACTATCCCGTTCTCCACTGCCTCCTGACCTTGCCTGCTTATCAACTGCCATTTGCGATTCGTCATCGTTGAGCATCACTGACATGCCATCCGAACAGCGCAAGGATCCCTGGATCAATTCTTTGCTCGACGTCCTCTCTCACAGTTCGTCAGAAACGACTTCACGCTCCCTCTCTCGTCAAGCAAGACACTTTGCTGTCCGTGAAGGCTTGTTGTATCGCCGCAATTACGTGACGGATGGCCGTAGGTGGCTCCTTGTCATCCCTCGTCATTTGCGTTCGGACATCTGCGCTGCCTTTCACGATGACCCCCAGTGTGGCCACGCTGGAGTATTTAAGACTTACTCTCGCCTTCGTCTAAGATACTACTGGCGCGGCATGTATCGGCACGTTCGCCAGTACGTTCGGTCATGCACCACGTGTCAACGACGCAAGACGCCTTCTCACAGCACTGCTGGCCCTTTGCAACCCTTACCCTGCCCAGCGAGACCATTCGACCGCGTCGGAATTGATATTTATGGTCCTCTACCCAACTCTCTTCGAGGCAACCGGTATATTATCGTCGCCGTGGATCATTTAACACGCTACGCTGAAACATCTGCGCTGCCTGCTACCACTGCGAAAGACGTTGCGTCCTTTCTTCTTCACCATCTCATTTTGCGACACGGTGCACCTCGTGAATTACTCAGTGACCGTGGACGCGTGTTTCTCTCGAACGCCGTCGACGAGCTACTCAAGGCATGTCGCACTGTCCATAGGAAATCCTCGGCATACCATCCCCAAACCAATGGCATGACAGAACGCTTTAACCGTACCCTTGGAGATATGCTTGCCATGTACGCCTCTGACGACCACACTAATTGGGACCAAGTGCTCCCTTTTGTCACGTACGCGTACAACTCTGCGCCACAAACAACCACTGGCTTTTCTCCTTTCTTCCTTCTGTACGGACGTGAGCCATCATGCTCCATGGACACCATTCTCCCTTACAAGCCTGATGTTTCCGAAGCGACGCCTGTTTCCGAAGCAGCTGCTTATGCCGAAGAGTGTCGTCAACTCGCTCGCTCATTTACCGCACAAGACCAATGGCGCCAGAAAACTGACCACGATTCCTCTGCGTCTACTGTACACTATAACCCAGGAATGCTGGTTTGGCTCTGGGTCCCGTCTACCCCTCCCGGTCTTTCCCCGAAGCTTTCGTCGAAATACCATGGCCCCTACCGTGTGGTGCGGCAAACATCTCCTGTCAACTATGAAGTTGAGCCCATTGATCCACCCTCGGACCAACGCTGCCGTGGGCGTGAAACAGTACACGTATCACGCCTCAAACCGTGCTATGACCCCCTTGTCGTGTCCTTTCCCTAGGTCGCCAGGTTGGCTCCTTTCTGCGCGGGGAGTAATTGTACCGAAGCATAGTGGCGCCAGCTCTGTGCCAGCGTGAAAGAAGACGTTGACGTCCGTGTGTGGCTGGTGCTTGCCGGGTTCCTGCCTGTACCAGCTTGTTGCGGCTAACGTTTCTGGAATAATAACCTGTGTTTTTACGCAACCTTGCTCGTTGCACCTGTTATATTATAACGAGGTTTGAGTGTAATACTGAAGCTTGCTGATAATTTTATCATTTTGCTTTGCCGAAATAAATGCTGCTTTATTTATTGTGGGACTGAACCAGTTGCGGGAACTTGTCAGTAACGCACAGTTATTGTTCATTTTACAAGAATGCTTTCCCTTTTGTTTTATTTCTTAGCACTGCCTTTTTAGCGCACCCGTTTTCCATGGGAAACATGGTGTTCATCATGTGGGTCACTGTGTGGCTGCAAACACACTGTTTAGTTGAAAATATACTCGTAATATGACACTAAAATGTGCACTGAACTATCGAAATGTTTCTCCCATTCACATTTTCGTGTATATAATTTATTAAATGAGTTATCATTGCAAGCAAGCAAAACACAAATCAGCTGCAAGCTGCCGTACTACTTGTGGAGCAACATGAATGTGCGGAAGACCTGCCTCCATAGGCATTGCTCTATTGTGGAGATAAGTTGTCACCGAGTGTGGCTATCATTGGACATAGCGCTTTTCTGTCCCTTACCCGCCACGGTTGTCTAGTGTTAATGTGCTCAACTGCTAATCTGCATGTCGTGGGATCGAATCCCAGCCTTGGAGACTGCATTTTCAATGGAGGTGGAAATTAAGCCTGTGCATGTAGATTTAGGTGAACGTTCAAGAAACCAAGTCGTCGAAACTTTCGGAGCCCACTGCCGCGTCGCTTTGTCATGATTATATTGTTGTTTTGGGACGTTAAATTCATAAAAAATTAAATTATTAGTACTTTTTGTCCCTAGTAGCATTTGAATCTGCTGTGCTAGTGTTCCTTGCCTTGTTCAGAATATGAATTTCGGCTGCCACGAACCTATATGAACATTTTTCCTGAACTTTTGTGTCCCTTCTTTGTCCCATGCTTTATGTTGACGCTGTTCCTACAATCATGTAAGCCTTAGTATTGCTACCATAGGAGTTCTTGCTTGGGTTAGCGCTCAGGCTCTTTGCTGCAGGAAAACATTGGTCTAGCTTCACCTTTTTCTCTTTCTGAGGTGAAAGCTTCTGTAGAGGACTCTTGCTGTAGTTAAGTAGGGTCAGAAAGCAACAGGGCATCCCATTGTTCAGGCTGCCTAGAGCAAGTTTTTGATTTTTGTTCTTTCCTCACGAGCCACGTCCTGTAGCAGGTGGTTGAACTAAGAGCCCACCATGCCATCATATACAGATCACCATTTGTTTGTCTGGCAGTCTCCTGTTGTGCTTTTACTTGATGAACACTGCCATTTATGTAAGCTTGTTGTCTAGAGGCAAGTATGGGGGGGGTCTGACAGTGAGCTTCCACATTGTCCTGCAGGCGAGCTCCTGAACCAGAACCCACCAGCATGGTGGCCATGCCTGACCATATGGGTCCCATCGGGGCAGGCGACCACAGGGATCAGCGGAGAGGTGACCCCATTCTGCCAGCAGTGCTGGAACTTTGGGAGGAACGTGAGTCTTTCTCAGCTATCCCTTCAGTTAATTTCTTCAAATTTTGGCTTGCTAAATGGCTTGATATGGTGGAGTAGCCCAAACTTGCTTGGAATCTATCACTGCTATTCTGGTGAAAGGTAGGGCTGTCTCATGGCATGGTAAGTCTGCAAGGCAGTCAAGCCACCTTTTCAAGTAGATGCAGTGAAATACATTTTTTTTTCTCTTCAAATAGTTCAGAATTTTTTTTTCCAGGTTGAAATCTGTGTCGAAGTGGATTTGAATGTTGTAATACAGTTCAGCCCATATATGACGGCCACACTTAAAACGAACTTTCACTTAAAATGAACAATATCCGCGTGACCGTGAAAATATACATTGGTTCAATGGCACGAAATTGCACTTACAACGAACGTTTCCTAGCGCCACTGATCGGTTACAGTGAACGAAGTCAGCGCTCTACTGACTTCCCAGGAAACCACTTTTGACCACTTATCAGGCATCGGCGAGGTGCCCACACATTCTTATTGTTAAACGCCGACCCTACCTTTGCGCCCATCTAGTTGCCGCTTTCCTCGACTTCTTTTTGTTACACACCCCTTCCTCTTTTGTCCCCCCCCCCCCCCCCCCGCTACTCCTGAGCACCCCGCATCCCCAGACGAGGCTCGTGTTTTCACACTGCCACCGATCTTTGGAAGACCAGTCGGCCATCTACCCTGTTTTTGATTGCTGGTACTGTTGTTTGCGTCGTCGGCCTGGAGTGACCAGACTATTTGCCAACATCATAGGCCACCGACTGTATCCGATAGTCTGCGTCTAGTGCACGCGCGTATGCTACACCACCGACTCTGATAATTTGCGATTCATTTCCTGTTTAGGACTTGTTCTCATTCACTTTGCACTCAACTCGGCATGCCTTCCGGGCGCGTGCGGAAGTGCGAAAACGGCTGTTAATTTGGGCGGAATTAATCACGAAATACCGAAGTTCGTAAGGCCATGCAAAACCGCTGGCGCAACAAAATGATTTTTTCACCACGGCCGCTGATTCTTAGAACACCACCATGTGCACCGATCGAGGTGGCTGTCCTTTGACTTCTGCGTGCGCAGGCACTCTTTCAAGTTTTTCTACGTGCGAGTTTCGTGGACCTTTCAATTAAGCTACCCAACCTGTGCATCCTTCCCGTGTGTTTTGGTTTTCAAGGTTGCCCTTCCGCCGCATCCTCCCCTCTCTTTATCACAACCCCTTCGCCCGTCTCCATCGCTCCGCGACGCCAGCCGCACTGGTTCGAATTAGTTTAGTTTAGGAAATAGGCCCAGGGCTGTTCCACGCGTTCTGGCATGTGATTCGCGTGTGCGCGTCTTGCTCGCTCCTGGTGTGCGTGTGTGTGGTCTGGATGGCAGACGGGAGGACTTGCACGCTTTTTCCTGCCACTCAACAAACATCGAAAGTGGGACCGCTTGGTTTGAGCGTAATCCGTGCGTTAGGTGCCGTGTTACGGAGCGCTTGCTCATAGCTGTTTGACCACCTGGCAGCCAACTTGCCGCTTCATGGGTCCCGGTATTCAGCTGTGGAGATGGTGAATATTTTGAGGGCCGCGGTGACGGCTACATGCGCGCAAGACTGTTTTCGCGAAGCCGACTTCGTCGACATCGGGCCTGATACCGAGCCTGAAGCTTCCGAACAGGATTACTCCGGCAGGGATTTGTGTCAGCGCGTTGTCGACTCCGACCTGGGAGAGCGGGGGATGGGGGGGGGGGGGATCGTTTGTTGCGATGGTTTAATTACGGCCGATGACGATGCCGACACTGCGGAACCGTGCACGGATTAGGGCATTGTGAATTAAGTACGTGGCGAGAATGATTTGGAGGAATGGGATTGCAAGAACGACGAAACATTGCAGCCAGTGCCTCATGCAGCTTACACCATGAACCTCGGCGAACGAGCACCCTGCCGTTTTAAATGAACTCGACACCGCCCTTATCGCTTCTGCTCTTCGAAACATGTGCATCGCGGACTTTTTTGGGCAAAAAAAGTTTGTGTTTTCACTCATAACTTTTTTAAAAGCTGCGTTTCACTTACTACGAACTTCGGGATACAGCAAACGGATGTTGCATCAGGCGCAGGCTCGTTACAAGCGGGCTCAACTGTACTCGTTTGAACATTGAAATTTGTATTGACTTTGATTTGAATATTGTAATACTGATTCGAACATTCGCGGTGTGCGAATGTGCCCCATTTGGCACACCAGTCCCTCCTTCTCCCCTACCCTTCTTTTCAGTTTTACTCTCCTCCATTTTTGTTTGGGTTGGAGGAGGGGGACAGGGCGCATACATACGTGCACTAGGGAAAGCACATGCTGCCTTGAAGAAAACAAGTCCGCTTGTCCAAACAAAGGGCTCAACAACCAGTGTTCATGAATTTTTCATCTCTTCACGGAACTCTGTTTGAGAGCCTCTGCCCTATGGTATCTTTTGCCTGCGGTAATTTTGTCGGTGCCGTTGGTTCTTATCAAATATTTAAATTAATATGAACATCCCATTTGCATGCTTTGATTATTCTATATGTCCGGCTGCTTAGTTCACAGTGCTATGTTTACTATGGTTTGTGGGCAAATGTTGCTTAGTGGGTAGTGCGCACGAAGTGGATGAATGTCGTTTTAGAAGTATCTGCAGAAGCATAAATGCCAGAACTGCAGTGTAAGTGTACATGTACACTGAGGTCTGCTCCGAATTCTTGCTGCTACAGTAGTCTTGGCAAAATATTTCGCATTCAACACAGGCAGCTGCTTACTTTTGTGTTCCATAGAACAGAACAGAGTGATTTGGCATTATGTTTTACACTCTCTCAGCATAAGCATTTAATCTTGACACTTTATCGTTGTTGCTGTTGCAGACGAATCTCTGTTCTTGGATGCGGTCATCAATCAATTGGACTGGCTGTCGGTTCAGTTCAAACTGGTTCCTGCGTATACTCTCTACATGGCTTGCCGCTATCGAGCTTCCACGCACTTCCGTCCCGAGACGAGCCCTACCGAGCGTGCTCAACGGTTGACTGCGCTCGCCACCAACATAGGTGCTCGTGTGCGGGAAGCTGTGGAGCAACAGCAACGTGATGCAGGGCCGCTGGCCTTCTGGCTGGCCAATGCCAGTGAGCTGCTTCACTTCCTACGACAGGATAGACACCTCAGTGCCTACACCTTAGATGCTCAAGACCTCCTCACTGAGGCACTCCAGCTAGCATTTAGGCAGCTTGTTTCGGCACAGCGACGAGAGTTGGCCCAGGCTCTGCCCCGGGCTTTTCTCAGTCCAGACACAGCCACAGATGCACCCATTGGTGAGTCCCCCTTTGCTGGAGAAAGCATTGTGTAGCTTGTTTCTGCTGTTCTTTTTTCCTGCAATTTTCGTTTGTGCGTCATGAAAGGTGAGTCCTACGGAGAGCTGAACTTGTTTGTTCTCTCTGGCCTACTTTATTTCCAGGCCTTGGAATTTATTGCAGGCATTGGTCAAAATTTTCGGAGCCTTCTAGTACAGCATCTCTCATAATCATATTGTGGTTTTGGGACATGAAACACCAGATATTATTATTCTCTGCAGGCGAAGCTCTTGGTGTGTTGGCCAGCAGCATGAGCCTGCTACGACGCTGCCGGGTGAATGCCGCACTGACAATTCAGTTGTTCTCCTGGCTCTTTCACCATGTGAATTCGTGGCTGCTCAACAGCCTTCTCTTGCACGGGCGTCCTCCTCTTTGTCGGCCAACGGGTGCCCTGTTGAAGCGCCGGCTGGCTCACCTGGTAGCCTGGGCAGAACAGCAGGGCCTGGAGCTGGCTGCAGACTGCCACCTTGCACGTCTCATCCAGGCTGCTCACTTGCTGGCGGCACCGAAAGCCAACCCACAACACGACTTGCCCCTGCTTGCTGATGCCTGCTTCAAGCTTAATTCTTTACAGGTATTCTGACGAAAAGGTTCTCCGTTATTCTAGTTTGTGTGTTGCAAAGTTTCCTTGCCCCAGTGGATGAAGGTAGTGCCTGTATTAAGTATGAAAGGACCGAAATGTAAAAATTTGAAGCAGTGACTGTGAAAAGTTGGCAAAGATTCATGAAGCAATAACACAGCAAAGTTTACATCACTTCCCTTAACTAATGTTGAGTGAAATGTGCTACTGTAGAGGGTGGGCTAAATGGAGGTAAAATTACAAGCATAGCACTGCAAACGGAGATGCGATGTCACAATGTGATGTTTGCTGGCTTGTGCTGGGCAGGTTGCCCCAGCTATCTTTAGCCAGAGTGAAGAAAATGTGCTGAAGAACTCCATGACGGCACAACCAAGTGCATGTTGCTGATGACAGGACTTACCGTATTTACTCGCATAATCCTCGCACTTTTTTTTGCCGGAAAACTGATGCAAAGTTGGGGGGTGCGAGAATTGTGCGGGGAAAACGTTCTACGAAAACGTACAGAGCGAAAAAGAAAACAAAGTGGCCACAAATCGGGATTCTCACACCAGCAACTTACAGCAAGCTTTAAGAAGTACTAATTAGAACTTACCTCAACAATAAAAGCAGAGGTTCAACACAAGGCAAGATTTTAGACGCAAAAAGTTCAAGCAAATAGTCGAGAATTAGAATACCATACGCAAAGCTTGTGGGCGTTGTGGGCGTAACGGTAGCGTTTGTCGCTCAACAGGAGCCCTTAAAAGGTAAGCGTAGGATGTCAGTATTGGGCTGGTAGCTATTTAACAGAATCGTCCGCAGTTTCCTTCTGAAGAAATAATGTTTACTATCAATCCCAGTTTTAGGCCCACGGCAGGCCCAACGCGTCTTCATGGCTTTCAGCTGCCGTCACCAGTAGCGAACACATAACTCGTAGACTCTGAAAGGCCTACCGGCGGCCCTGTTGCCGTCGTTTAGTGCATGATCTATCACTTGCAACTTGAAGCAGCTGTGTAGCTTCAGTATCACCCCCATAACGTGCCAAGATTACAGACACAGCATACAAAACACGTCGCAACGCGCACTGGCCACTTCGGCTTGATTTAGATTAGAATGAATCTGCGTGCAATAGTACGCTTGATGCTTAAAAGATGGCGCCAGATGTTCTGCCTTGCACGTTATGAACACGTTTCTGTGCATGGCTTGTGTGGCAGGTGCGGCACCTGCTGGAGAGGTTCCAGCCGTTGGGACCTGGGGACCAGGTTGGCACTGGCTTGATTGATGCATTGGTGCATGAAGCGCGCAAAGGCGAAGATGCTCGCCTTGCAGAAGAAGGCCGCCCGCTACAGCTTGCAGAAGAGCCTCAGCTGGCCCTGCCTTTTCTGTTACCCGAGGATGGTTATTCGTGTGAGACTGTGCGGGGCGTGCCACCAGGACTACAGGTGGGTAGCCACAGCCTTTTCTGTCTAGTGTGTAATTTCCAGAGTTGCCAGATCATACCAAGCTAACAAGCAAATAATCCTCGCAAGAGAAGCCCTAATGAAAGCCCAAAGCAGAAATTGAATGAATTTGTCCATTTTTGAAAGTACATTTCGCTCATGTACGAAGGAGAGTTGAAAAAATTAGTACGTATAGTGAAAAGATGCGCAACTGTGAACAAAAGCACATGTTTACTTTTTTTTACATTGTCTCTAGGGTGGTGTCTATTGGAATGCACATTTCTCAGTGCATGATTAAGTGTTGCACATTTCTCAGTGCAGATTTCTCAGTGTTGATTTGCCCAGCGCTTGTGTGACTTGAACACTCAACCACTCAGTCATCAACAAATGTGCTATTAGTGTGAAGACCAAAATAACTATATTTGCTGGAAAAGTGCTAATAAGCCCAAAAACACGAGAAGCCACTGGAAAACTTTACAAGTGACTCAGCAAAAGGAAGAAGCCCAGGTCTGCTTATTATAATTGGAACTGGCTACTCTGGTAATGCCCGAATGTAGAGCGAATGACGTCCACAGTGTGACATTACTTGAAGCAAAAATGCAGCAAAGCGGAATAGTGGCACTAGGAACGAACAATAAAAAGAAAAGTGTAGTAAACCCTTGGTTAACTTTATACGTGTGGCAGTATGTATTGGCATGCCGGGCACAAATTTTAATTTCTATTTTCACACCTAAGAGCAGCCTATATAGCATTGGTGATGCCAACTTTACAGAAAACATATCGATAGTCTCGCAATATTAGTTGAGTTAATATCCGTTTCTTGCCCAGCTCTCAGTGCTATGTAATTTTCACCGCTTGTCTCAAAATGCTTCCACTCTGAGCTTTAGATATCTAAAAATCTTGGCAGTGATAGAAACTGTTGAAAGTCACAATTTAGTGGCTTCCCTGCTTTGAGGAGAGCATGCTCTGTGCAATCATGATTGTCACTGACAAATGAGCAGCGTAGGCAGAAGAATTGACATTTGGGCTAGTTGGAACTGACTTCGAACACAAAAGGAAAGCAGCATTGCCATGTGTTCTTTTCTCATTTGTGTATTCATTTTTTTGTGCACACCATTCAATATGTTTAGCATAGGAAACCGGTGATAGGATCTTGTACGCATTACAAATTAGCATGGAGGCACTTCATTCCATCTAGCTGCATGTGATTGGTCAATAAGCATCATGACTCACATTGAGCAATCGAGTGCGGCCCAATAAAATGGAATGCCTCCGTGCTTATTTGGAGTGGGTACAAGATAGCACCTCAGTAACTGCTCAACTTCCTGGTAATTTTTGTTGAATAGGAAGGCCTATGATCAGCCTGGAGCTGGTAGCTTTGTAAGCACATTTTTCTTGCGCATCTAATGTTAGTAGTTCTGAAATGAAGTGTGGAGCAAATGCACACTGTTTCTCTATGTAGCTGAAATGAAGTGTGGAGCAAATGCACACCGTTTCTCTATGTAGCTGATGTACAGTGAAACCTCAATAAATGAAAACCTCTTAAACGGAACTGCTGCCTAAGTGGAACAACTGCTCCTGATATGATTGGTTTCGTACTTAAATACTGCACCCTGTTCATCTCTCAGTAAATGGAACTTCTGATGTATAAAACCCATAAGCCTGGTCCTTTCAGGTCCTGTTTAGCGCAAGGTTGGTGTATGTACATTTGGCCGTAAATGAAATTCTAAAACTGTCTTTTCTGTTTTCATGCTCTATAAGAACTGCGATAAAGAGCTACACGCACCACTAGCACTGTAACTTACTGTGTATTGTTGCTCTTTCTTTGTCCCTGTTTTTATTTTGAATCTTGTGAACAAAGATTTTGGATTACCAATTCGCTTGAGCTGCTGTCTTATCCTCTCTTGTGTTCTTTGTTCCACTGTGCAGGAGTTTCTGCAGCCGCTGTGCCTTGCTGGGCTGTGTAGGCTGACATTGCAGCCTACTTCTCTGGGTCACTGGACCATCTACATGTGCGACCAGGACGTTCTTGGCCCTCGCATTGTCACACTGGCCCTCAAGAAAAGTCCTTCCGGCATGGGACTGAGCATTGTGGCTGCCAGGGTGAGTGCATCAACTTCTAGACTGCTTGTTCTCACGTGCTGAAATGTGGCCTGTTCAATGTGGCATGGCCTGCAGTCGGACATCAATTGATAAATGCTGAATGTGGCCCTGCCAGGGGCATTGCCAACTTGCATGTCAGTGTAAGCGGCAGGGCAGTACTGGGGGAAAAAAAAGGCAGATAGGGGAAGATGGAAGCTTGCGAGGAAAAGAAAATTTCTGAATGGGTTGTGTGCTCCAGCCAATCTTTCGACTAGTGGACTGTTTGCAAATTTTTTCAGAGCAATATGTAAAATCTTAGTCAACTAGGCTTGTGTTAATACTAAATTATAGGTTTGAAGTGAATTCCGAGTGAAGAGTGATTTGGTTTGAATAATTATTGAAATTGAATTCGAGTATAAATCTCACATATTGTGAAGAAAAATGAGCTTATTTATCATGGCCCAACTAACCTTGGCAATATTTTTTTATTAATATGAAACAAGGCACATGCAAATGTCATTCTTTTTGCTTTTAATAAAATGAAAGACTCTTTCAACAGTGGTTGAATTTAGATTTCGGGGAAATGCAAGTGATAATCTGTAAAATATGTTACATTTAAAAATTATTAAGAGTATATGTGCTGGCATAATAAGCTTTTAATTAAAAAAAAAAAGGACGAATCAATGTTCATTTAACGTCTAAGTGCAGATAGTTGCTGCAAAGCTGGATTCATGGCATAGCAGTTCTGCACTGCAGTGAAACTACCTTTTCAAGAGGTTACATGCGAAGTAATATACACTTGATTGTTCATGATGAATGCTTCGAAATTTGCAATAACTTAAAATCAAATTGGAGGGTATTCGAATACTGTAATACTCGTTGAAATATTCGAAATGCTCGAATATCCACTCAAGTCTGGTTATTGTGTGTTATCTCTGTCTTTCGTTGTGTGCACGTTTATGAGGAGGATAGGAACCGACACTGTGCTCACGTGTTTTGATTTCTAGAGGAAGTGGTTTCTTATTGTAACATTTCTGAAGGCTTTGTGCTGGCTTCGTAGGGCTCCAACCAGGACCGGTTGGGTATCTACGTAAAGAGTGTTGTTCGAGGTGGGGCAGCCGACTTGGATGGCCGTCTCCAGGCCGGGGACCAACTACTTCGGGTCGACGGCCACTCCCTGGTCGGCGTCTCGCAAGAAAAGTGAGCTGCCTTATGTTGTACAGTCAAACCTTTGTAAGAGACAATAGGGTATCAGAGGCATGATCGTGCCCAACATTAAAAGAGGGCTTCATAATAAACGAAATGCGTACAAGATACCCTGCTTATAAAAACACCTCATATAAAAAAGAATTTCTCCCTAGTGCATGTATTTTATAAAAGGGTTCTACTGTAGTTTTATCAGTGGTAACGTTTTGTCTGCTCTTGTTTTTGTAGGGCAACTTAAGGGGAGACGCTCCTCGAAAAAGTTTTTTTTTTATTTCTAGTAATAGAGACTTGAAAAGTTTGTTATTAGTATAGTTTTTCATGCAGATTTCAAATATGCAATCATTTTTTGTGTAGCTGCTGTAATTATTGAGTTATGCCATAAACAATAGCAAAAAGTTACATTTTTTGTGGGCACTCTTTTATGTACTAAACTTTCAGTAAAAGCACTGTGTCTGATCTTATTTGACTCTTGGTAGATCGAAAAGTGCAAATATTTATATAGATATGTCACAGAAATATTGGAACCAAGAAAAAAAGAATTGTATTGAATGACTTATTATTTTCAATCTCCCTTGAAACAATAAGCTAATATTTTCACAACTAATGCTGGTAGGCATTGCAATTTAGAGTAGATATTTGCATTCTGCATGTGTTGAAGAATATGTGTGCCAAGTTTCGTTACTATACAATGAATATAAGTTTCTAAAAGGCTCCCCGGAAAACGTGAAACTGTCAGAAAAAATGAAAATGAGAAAAACAAGTTTGAAAGTTCGCAAAGTTGGCATTTATTAGGAAATCATTCTTTTTGCATCAAATTGGGGCACAATGAAAAGTACCTTGCCTTGAATGCACTGCAAGTGTCTAGAAGTCCCCTGCACCATAGCTTGGTCCTTCACGGCTCTTGCGGTCAGTGTCCTCAACACGAGCTCTCTTCGCTGTGTTGCGACGGTGTGCCCTTGCTTCTGCAGTTTGCTTCAGGTTCATCTTCCTGATGCGCATGACGTCACAGTGGTCACCATGTGTGGCCAGATCTTGTGAGGGGAGAATTCCAATGCCTTCGAGCACTTCTTCAAAGCCCCTGTGGCCTTTGTTGTACCAGAGTACAGCAAGAGCGGTGGCTGTCTCTACAGTTGTTCTGGAGGCGAACTTTGTTTTTGGACATAGCAGCCATATCTTGCTGTTCAGCGATTCGGCTACATTCTGTGTCTTGCCATGAAGGCACCGAATAAGGAGTTTCTCCTCTGTAAGGCGCTTGTAGATAGGCATAATTGCCAATCCTTGAGCATTCGTCAACAGTGGGGTGTGGCGTGGTGCAGGCTCCCCCAGTGCTTCCGCACGCTTGTGCTTGCATCACGAATTTGGTCCCGCGGGGCAAAAGTTGTGGCTACTGGCACCATCACTGGAGCAGCAATGAAAATACGATGCCCATATGGCAGTGTACATATTTCGGACACTGTCCTTGTTGCTCGTGATGGCGATCTTGTAATATGTTTGTAGTTTTATTATTGTCGCATCTTTCAGTTTTTCGCCTCGTGGCAGTGGCGTTGCCAATTTCCGTAGGGCAGTTCCCAAGCGCTTTGCAACGTGGTTCGTGCACTCTTCTTTGTCAATGGGGGTGTCACAGTATACATTTGCCTCGCAGACTGCAGTGTAGGCCTTGCTGTCACCATCACTTAGGAAGCTGGTGAATCGCAGCGGAGTTTCATAAGACAAGGTCCTCTGCCATATATTGACAGCTGCCGCAGGTTCCATTGCATGGGATGAGCAGTCAGTGTTTTTTTGGCAAACTGGAAGATGAAAAGCTCGCCATATCTCTTCATCCTCCCCAAGGTCCCTGTGTATACTGCAAGCATGGCAGTAGTTCGAAAGAACTTCAAAATCGAGGCAGAGCCCCGTGTCCAGGGACACGACTGTGCCCACTCCATTGTGGCTTTTATGACCTCTTTTCTGCCAGGTGCCATCAAACATGACTGGCACATCTCTGCCGCCGACTGCGTCCTTCGTGATGTTTCGTGCCTGGTGCAAGTTTTTGCCCACTGCCGTCATCGCCGCACCATGGAGCTTCTTGCAAATGCCGTTGAATGTCTTGTGATGCATCGGGCTCGGAAGACCGAGAATCGCACAAAATCGTAAAAGTTGGTCGTGGCCTGCGCCTATAGCGTGTGCTGCCAGAACTGCCTTCACGTTTACAGCAAAGCTGTCACGCGAGCTGCCGCTGTCAAAACGAGCGCTCGTTCCTTGGTCCCCGGCCGAAGCAGTACGTCTCGACGTGTGCGTGAACAAAAGTGCAGATTCAGGGCAATCAGAATTTTGACAGCACAGTTCGAGGAATGCCGAAAGTCCTTTGCGCTTTCCAGCTGCCTCTCGCACGCCGAGCTTCTGTTCGCGGCAGGTTGGGCATTGCGCACCCGCCACAAGTGCCGTCAGCGCATCGATTTCGCAAAGCAGCATGTTCGCAGTAGCAGCATCTACCGGTCTACGTTCACTCTCGAAGAATCCAATCTTCCTTTGGGATGCACTGACTAATTCCACGGCAGCGGCTATTTCACAATCACTGTCGCAGAGTTCGGTGATAGGCCGAAGTCGGAGCGGCGGGGCGTTGGTCGGGGGCGACATCGTCGTTCGCTGTCGCTTTGCGAAGCGTCCGACGCCGTTTCCCTCTATACTTGTGGCGAGTTCTGAACTTTCGATTATCTGAACTGCACTTCTTCGGGCTTGCCATGACGCAAAAATGCAGAGAAACGCAGAGAAACTCGATCGCGACGTCCGAGGCTTCGCTCTTTTGCCGGAGAGATAAGAGGGGGAGGAGCGTGGAGCGCACCGCCGTCCAATGGCGGCCTCGCGCTGTGTGCCGCGATATTCAAAACGCGTGACGTACGCGTTGTTTTTCTCGTTTTTTGTTTATTCTGCGTGAAGGCACGAGACTGGCTACTAGTGGATTATGAAGGATACGGCCTTCGCAGCATGCGTGCACGATTGCAAATGGCGGCCAACGCGTCGTTTTCGCGACAGGACGACGCGAACTTCGCCGTTTTTCGCGACTTTCGCGCATTTCTCGCGTCACCGCTGCCCACTTGGAAGCATTTTTTGATAATTTCTCGTGCGAATTTCAGCTTGATATTTTCAGAAGTAATAGATTATAGTCCAAGGATGCCAATACAGCCGGAAAAAAAAAGCGAAAGTTTTCCGGAAAACCGCGACTTTTCGACCCGCGTCTCCCCTTAATGCTAATCGGCCAACAATTGTAAATTCATAAATTTGGAGTATTCCAAACTTCGCAGTCCCTTTATCATACTCTTTCTCTTAATCTTTTTTGTTAAGTTACACTTAATATTTATGAATACATTTTTTTAGGGAATTATCATATGTACAGTAATCATGGACCAACACAGAACTATTTTGGGTCAAGTAATGTACACACTTTTATTTCCAGCGTCTTGAGTTCAAGTCATAGTATTATAATTTTGAGAAAAGCGTGTATATCAGAGTCAAAATTATCTTTAAAGAGCAGATATGTCACTACATGATGAGGTAATCACGAGCAGTTGCACTACTAGGCCTTGTAAATAAAATTTGTCACCTTTGAATTCGTGAATACGTATGATGTGATTGTGAATATCAGGGTTTGTTTGTGTTCTGAAAAAATATAAATTTACTGTAGTGATTATAACAGGTAATATTCAGGACAGCCCTAGCCCAGGGTGTAAAAATAAAATGGCGATTTGAAAACTGAAGCTGAGCAATTATGGCAAAAAATACCCGCGACACTCATGCACAAATTTTGAAGCTTTTTTTCCAACCACTGGTGGCAATCTTGCATGCCTATGCTAAAGGCGCTTTGAGAAAGTGCAATATGTGTAAAAGAAAGAAAATTTTTTTGTTAGCGTTGTGAGATCTACGATGATAGCCGCTCTCAGAGCACATGGATAGTCATGCCATTGGGCAAACCAACACGTTTGCATTTATTCATTTGTTTTTGCATCACGACAATATTGCCAAGCAAATGAAATACATCTCTAGTAGTGACATGTTAGATATTGTACAATATGCCAACACAACACCCAAACAATATAAACACAAGGTACTGCAAATGTGTCGTCTCCGACGTTCAACGTGCCATAAAGGATCCGTCAGAAATGACCTGTTGTATTTCACCCCATGGACCCTCCGCAGAAGATGTCTGTCGATGCACGCTGCCAACTCCCAAGCGACTCACTGCTGTGTTCTGTGAGCCGACCCAACTTCTGCCAGGCAGTGTTGCCAGTGTCACTGCGCTAACCCATGCGATCACAGCACCAGTTCTCGCTTGGTGGCTGTTAAACCTGTGGGGTCTTGAAATGAGAGCGCCGTGCTCCCGGAGCACACAGAGACAGTAGACGTGGTCAAAGCAAACCAAACACACATTTATTGAGCTATTTTTACGTCGACGATATTGCCAGCCGAGTGCAATCACTAGTGAGCAACATACTAAGCACAACCTTATATAATATTCCAATACTCTCAATCAACTTAAGAACAAACGCGAGGTATAGCACGAAGGCAGCGTCGCCAACGCTCAGCTCACCACGAGGGGCCCACGAAAAACAACCTGCGGCGCGTCCTTATGGACCCGCCATGGGAGACAACCCTTTACGCCAGCAGCCACCCACCAAAAAGAACCGCTCATCTCTCATGTGGCACCACACAGCCAAGCCGCTAGGCGTCATTGCTGGCTTTACCAATCATGATGATGACAAACGCTCGTGAGTGCGACGCCGCCTAGCGCTTGGTAGTTGTGAAACTTAAATGTTGCTAATCTGTGGAACACGTGTGTGCCAGGAGGTGCAAGTAAATTGACAGGGGGATGGTAGCACCCCCGCAAACCTAAGCACGACTAATCCACAAATGGCATATGCGGGGCAAGCCACTTTCAGGAGGTAATAGCACCCCCCAGCCTTCAGGCGAAAATCAGTCTTAAAGTTAGGTGCTATACACTTAAACCGGAACCAAGAGTACACCATACTCATGTTCACATTACGACAAGCATGTATTGCACCTCTTCACGAAGCAGCCATCCACTGTCTGTGGAGTGGTTAGCGTCAAAGAGTGCATGAAGGACACATTTGTTGTTGTGCACCGAAAGTGGTTTGACAAAAGGCAATGTGTGCAGGGCGGCAGAGCTGATGACACGCACCGGCCCACTAGTCCAGTTGGAAGTGGCCAAACAAGGGGCCATCCACCATGGGCTGGCATCACTGCTCTGCCAACCCTCACCCCTGCTCCTGCAGCGCGGCCGCCTCAGCGAGCGCGACATCCCAGGCCGTCTAGCCCACGAGGAGGCCCCTCCCCGGATCCAGGGCAGCAAGAGTGTGCCTGCTCTCAACTGTACGCGACCCTCTGCAGCTGTTGGGCCGTGCCATGTGTATTGTGCTTTCTTGAAAGAAGCCTCTAGGCTATAGAGTTTTCTAAAGTTAACTAGAGGGGACTCTAGCACTGCGATCGCTCAGCGACTGTAGAAATGATGGGTAGTGCGTTTATCTGCCTAGTCTTTGTACTTGCGGGCCTTGAATCGCACCTGTGACTTCGTTTATTGCTGTGTTTCGGTTTTGTTTCGAATGAAAGAATGGACGCTTTTAAGCTTCGTGAGTCGCTTGAAATAGTGAGCCTAAAAGGTTAAAGTAGTGAAATGCATCTGCTCAACAGTTGCCGATTGTCTTTTAGTGACAAAGCAACTTCAAGACATGCGATGCCAACTGGAGCCGAAAGTACCAAAAATACACAAATCCATAAACTACCCATCATTCCCATGCTTGCTGAAGCACCGTGCATTGAAGCTGCCATAGACATTAGCACCAGAGTTCTCTCTAGTGTGTTTATAGGAAACTCTATGCTTTAGGCATTCCGTTACTGGGGCGTTGTTTCAATGGGAATCAAATAAAAATGCTTGCATGAAGATTATGAGGGTGGCAGATAGGGTAATTCAGTACAGCATGATGTTTAGGTGATTTAGAGCAACTCTGATGGAGTAAAGGAAAAAAATCTGCAAAGGATGGCAGGGTGTGTGCTTCGTTCCTGCCTTTATCTAATCTGAAGTGTGCTTAAGTACCTAAACATTGTGTTTGCATCAATCAGACGTATTCTTTGATGTGGATGACCTTTTCCTGATTCTTTGTTTGTATAACGATACAGGGAACCTTATATATTAAACAAAGAGCATACAGAATAAACTTACTTTTAAATTTTGCAAGTGTAATGTGCAATATTTTTCAAGGCAATAAAGTAATTGGGTGATGCGCTCATATACAGAATAGTGTCGTAGTAACAAAACAAAAGTTTTTCTCCTCAGTATATGGGGGGGAGTGCAGTGCCCAATGAGCTTGTGAAGATTTTTTGATTTGAGTCAGCAGGGAAAGCGATTGGACATTAACCATCATGTGATGACATGCATGCTTCATGTTGCTGCGGGGCTGTTTCACTAATGACAGTCGGTTTTGGTGTTACATGTGTAATTTTACTCTCAGGTGGATCTGCAGCCATGGATGGTAGCCAGCATATGGCACCTGGTAGTTCCATGACGATGCCATCACGAGGTTACCCACCAGGACCTTCCTACTCGGTATGTGGTCTACTGCTCATTCATGTGTATCAGACTCTTTTGGGGGGGGGGGGGGGGGGAACCTTCTCTTGCTCGGGTAAGTCCCATCCCCATCTATTGTGCCTGCTAGTACCGTATTTACTAGTGTAATGAACCCACCTTTTCTTCAGAAAAGTTAATGCCAATTTGGGGGGAGGGTTCATTACGCAGGAGAAAAAAAAAAAGTCTTGGGAGTTATAAACAGCGAAGATTTCTCATGACAGTTTGCTTGTTTTGGCTCGCGAAATGCGCGACCAATCGTTTTTGTAGCCCGAAGCTCTTGTTTTCTCCTGTAACGAACGCGCACAGATCGACACTGATGTGTCGTCCAGCCGCTCTTTCCATGCTTTAGGGCATGCGCAGCCAAATTTAAGTTCAAAACTAGCCATGTGGCTAGTGTACCAGCTGAGCGAGCTCTGCGCAGCAGGCATCCCCAACTAAGTTGACTAGGACAATCCCAGCTACAAAAACCGCAGTGTCTGATGGCAGCGCGCAAACGTTGCAGGCGATGAAGTCCCTAGTGAGCGACACACCATCAGCGCGGTGGGCGCTTTGCATGGCCTCCAAGATGGCAGGCGTGTTTCTACACTGCATGCCTGCCATTTCGAAGACCATGCGTTTGTTTTTTGCTTTGTTTTCGTGCTGCTGTGCTTGCATGGCGTTATAAACTGAGATTTCTCCTGCATTCGACAGATGGCTCTCTGCCGCAAAAAGCGTGGCAGAGCACTTAAAATTTTGATTGACGTCGTCTGCATTCACGCTGCTAGCAACTGTTTAGCATAATTGTGAAACTTTTACTTTTATTGCGTCATTTTTTTGTGATATAATGGCTTGGGTTAAAATTGTTTCAATCATTAACAGCACTGGCTATCGCACCTAAATAAAATGAACAGATACATTAAAAATTTCTTTTTCTTTTTTCAAGGAGCAAGGTGGGTTCATTACGCGCGTAAGTACGGTAGTCAAAGCACCCGCTAGAGGGCTGCAGATAGGAGTGCTCGCTCTCTCTCCCCAGGTGCTCGCTCTATTCTGACATATGCTCTACTTTAATATGAGACCGCGTTCGCTTTCGCTGCGCCCTCTCTCTTTCAACAGTTTCTGTTGTCAGCAGCCAGTTTTAGGGTATTGGAAAGCCCCCTCTTTTTCATCAGTTTCTGTTGTCAGCAGCCAGTTTTAGGTTATTGGAAATGCCACGGCAGCTCCGCTAGATGAAAATGACCCACGCGCACTAGCTCATTCCCCTCTCATCAACGCCATCGTCAATGCCACAATGAAGAACAAATCAGGAAATTAGAAGTTGCAAAAGTACAAAACGTTTGCCGCTTTGCCAACTCACAGCAGCGTTCTGTGGCAATGCATGCGAAGGTGAACTTTGGCGTCTGAGTGTGTGTGGGTGGATGTTTCACAGTTTTACCCATGAGCATTGGAGTTTCACCCCACTCTTCGTCATTCACTTTGTGGAGATCGTGTTAATTTTTCAACGTGCAGCATACTTGTCTTTGTTTGGCAACTATAGACAAACTTATGAAACCCCTTCTTGTGCTCACTCAATAAAAAATACTATGCATATTGTACTAGTTTTGATGTGATGGTTTTGATTGCCATAAGTTGCTTGAGAGGTTCGATATAACTAACACCAATACAATGAATTATCTGTTATAACAAAGTCAATGAAGATTAGTCGCGTCATAGATACATACAGTGTTACAAATATACTGTATTTGCTCGCATAATCCTCACACTTCTTTTGGTGGAAAATCGATGCAAAGTTGGGGGGGGTGCGAGAATTACGCGGGGAAAATCTTTCCATGAACACGTACAGAGCAAAAAAAAAAAAAAAAAAAACGAAGTAGCCGCAAATCGGGATTCTCACATCAGCAACCAACAGCAAGCTTTGAGAAGTACTAAATAAATTAAAAGCAGCGAGAGGCAGCCGACATGCTGCGCAAGTGTCATTACTGTATTGCAGTGAATATGTTTTTTTTTTTGCTGTAATAGCAGCGATGCCCAGTGTTTTCCCCCTTGTTTGCTGCAGAATTCTGAACTGATTTTACTAAAAACTAACTATTGGAGCAATAACTATTGGAGCTGCAAGCTAGCCGGCACAGCAAACAATCAACCCTAATTAATTTTAATAATCTGAAGTTCCTTGCATCCCTCTTTTTGTATGTTTCATTGATTTCAAAAACCATTTAATTTGACGATTTTTCACAGCCTCAGTGATTTTTAATTTATGAGGCTTTACTGTACATTTGTAACTAATGTACGGATATAAAAAAGTTATTTCATTGGAGGTGTGGCTTTGTTATATTGACGAGAAAAAGTTCAAAGAAGTTCTGTTCTATTTGTGCACAAATTTTAACATTAGAATTTGCTTTACAGTAAAAATTTTGCTATTTGCACAGCTTTGATACTACTTTAAAAAATGAGGAGCAGGCAAGAGAGGAAGAATCACAGCCACTTCAAAAATATGTATGGCTACCTAGCCAAAATTTAGTTGGTTGTGCTGCAAATATTTTTTTTTTCCCAAGAAATAGAGTGAGTTTGCGGCAAACAGGATTGAAAATAAGTGTGAATAGGCTCATGTGCGAAGGTCAGACCATAGTGAATTCCAGTAATTCATCGGGTTAACAAATAAGGCTTATGCTCGGGCAGTTAGACATTGCAGATGCCATTGTTTCCTGAATATATAAACAGGCATAGGACCTAAATAAAGGGAAGTTCTGCAGACAGGCAGCCTTTTTATTTATTGTTTAACTTGGTTACTGTCGTCCCACAAGGTGTCTTCCATTGGCTCTTCGCTTTGGTTTCGATGCAGCCCAGGCAAGCAGCGATGGAGGAGCGTCAGTACCAGAATATTGGCTTGTACCAGCAGCAACACCAGCAGCAGCAGCAGCTGTCCCAGCAGCCACAATTATCGGTGACAAGGTGAGACCAAATGACCAGTATGTGGATGGTTGTGTTGGTAGAGAAAGCAAACTACATGTTTAACCATATTCTGGCCAAACATAACTGAATTAAGGAGATCCTTAATGCTGCATATGCTTGCCGGAACCAGAGGATAAGGCTGAATCACCTGATTTTTCTAATTAAGAATGGCTTAATTAACCACATATTACTGTGCTAATGTTGTGATCCATGAAGGTTGTTTTTGTATAGGGAAGCAGTGAAGTGTAAAAACTTGAATAGCGGTTTGCTTTGCTAGCCATTGAAAGTGGGCATTAGTCAAAGGCACTCTGTTTGGCTCCTGAAGTGCTTGGGCTTAGAGACTTTGAAGTACTTCAGGAACCAAGTAGCCTCAGCGAGTTGGTCATCTTGCCATGTGTATGTGTGAAGTGCTCTCTTTCTGGCCTAATAATACTTTTCAGTTTGTCCGTTTTGCTCGGCACAATGTTGTTAGTTGGTGAAATGCTCCTCTAGCTGTCATTTTACGCTTTTCCCATCAAGGGACATATGTCAGAGCATTTTTCACGTTATGCTTCATTCTCCAGCAAGCAGTGGCATATGCATGTATTCTAAATGTTCAGAAACGATTGTGTGGTTACCTCGCTACTCACCGTAGCAGATGATCACCGCGGCTTCAAGCTTAGCGAGCCACAGGGCCGCGTCTCCGTCACCTACTCGCGTATAGCGCACGGCTCCATGCGCGCTCAACAAAGCGGTTAGTGTGGCTCGACAAAACAGTGTTCGATTAAACAGCAGTACACAAACACTTTATTGCCTTTGGCGGCACCCGGAACAACAGTACAATGTCCGCTCCCGGGACGCGAAGAGCAAAGGTTCCCGCACGCGAACGTTCATGATAAGGGGAAACCGCGAGCACGTTGCAGCTGGCAATGGCGAGCTTTGACACGCCGGTCAAGAAAAAGGTCCCTCGCGGCTATGCTGCGCACTCTCACGATGGCCACTGGGCCTGGTCGTACGCATAGGCCTACGGCAAGTGCGGCTTGGCGTGGTGCGACCACTTCAAGCACTAGGCACCGCTGTTGACTTAACGTACGGTACCGAAGCTAACACTCAGGTAAAAACGCCCGCCGGAAACGCCTAGGCACCCAGGCAGGCTATAGTCCGGCGATTTCCAAAGGGGACGCGGACGAAGGAAAATCACGTCCTTATAGGGCACTGGCCAACAGAGCAGAGAGCCTTTCCAGCGCGCACGTGACTTGGCCTCACTGATTCTCGCAGCCCCTGAGAACACGTGTCGTGCCCGCGCGTCCATTGCCATGTGCCGTTACCAGAGCACGGGAAAGGAAAAGGAGAGCGGCTGTACGGCGGAATGCCCACGAAATGGTCGCGGTCGCGCCTCAGATCTCCACAATGTTTGAGCTACGAATGTTGAGATCGGGCTGGCGCTTCCTACTTCACTCTTAAGCACGCCTGCTGGAATACAGGAGTGGTGTCATAAACCGTGCAAGTTTTTACGAAAGCTTCATGCTGGACTGCATTGTCAAAAGCGTGGTTTGAACTGTGGGCCCATTCCAGAGGCTCTAAGGTCATGGTAAAGCTGTAATGACACAAATACTTCAAAATTCTGGTGTTTCTTAATGAGGTTGTGGGAACAGATTCGTTTGAGAATCCCAAGATGTATATCTCCCAAAAAATATGGTAACCGCCTGTTGTGGACCAAACAAAGTTGTTTCACTCACTCACTCACAGCCACTGCAAATTGGGAATTGACACTTAAGGCATTCAAGCAGGAAAGCAAAAAACAAACTAAAAAAAATAAAAACTTTCATTTTCTTCTGTAGTCTCACTTTTGACCACTAGCCCTCACAGTTGCAGACCACATTCACTACACATATGCTGTGTGTGCACCGCCAACTTTGCCAATGCAGATTTCTCCTTCATATCATCCATGTTGTTTAGTGTAAGCAGAGCAAGAAGCAGCAGAGAGCCTGTTCGAAATGGTGCAGATTGCTGCCTATTATTGCTAATACAGTAAAAGCTCGTTAATATGACACCCGTTAATTCGGAAATTCGGATAATTCGGACTGGCTCTATTGGTCCCGGCCAAAGTGCATGTTAATCTATGGGACCAAACCTTCATTATTTCGTCGGAATTCGTCTCCGCACCGCTTAATTCGGACAAATGCTGGCGGCTGCTGCTACACAAAAGTGTGATAAAGCAGCGCTGGCACCACTGGAGTGAAACCGAAACCTCAGTGGCATCGCCATCATCATCAACTAGTGGGGGCGATCGCAGCGTCACTGAACGTCGGCGTCTTCTTTCTTCTCCACTCAGCGCCTCCGACGCCATTTTTCCTTGTGTTGTCGTGTCGGAACCATCTCTTCTTGCGGAGTTCTCTTTTTCTTCCATTGTGACCGTATTTGCATGCCACCACCATCGTGCGCTACAGTGATGGCAACGCCGAAAAAGCGGCAGAACTACGATGCGAAGAACTTGGCGACTAAAGTAGAAATTTTGGAAGCACTGAAGAACGGCGAATCGCGACAGCAGGTTATGACCAAGTACAACGTGAAGCGGAGCACGTTGGGAACGTACGTGAAAAATGAACAACAGATTCGACAAGCCTTCGAAAACGAGAAGTTTCATGCCTCTAGAAAGCGATTGCGAACCGCAGCTCATCCCCAGCTCGAAGAAGCTTTGCTCCAGTGGATTACTGACTGTCGCAACGTGCATCTGCCTTTGAGCGGACCTCTCATCATGGCGCAAGGTGAGAAGTACGCTGGAATGATGAACATTGAATCGTTCAAAGCGTCAGAAGGGTTGTTTGCGAGGTTTCGAGAGAGACACGAGCTTGTCTTCAGGAGTGTGTGCGGCGAAAAGGCCAGTGTTTACGAAAGTGTGACCACCGAGTGGAGAAATGTGAAGCTTCTGGAGCACATCGCCTCAATGCAGATGAAACTGCTCTATTTTTCAGAGCTCTGCCCGGCAAGACGGTGACTTTCAAAGGGGACGCGTGCATTGGTGGCAAGAAGTGCAAGCAAAGGATAACTGTGCTTCTTGCCGCCAATATGACTAGCACGGAGCGCTTGCCACTACTTGTCGTCGGGAAGGCGCTTAAGCCACGTTGTTTTAAGAACGTCAAAAGCCTTCCTGTCGAGTACACAGCGAACAGGAAGGCATGGATGACATCGGACATTTTTCGCGGCTGGCTGCAGCAGTTGGACCGGCACTTCACGTCGAAGGACCGCAAGGTAATTATAGTTGTTGACAACTGCAGTGCCCATAACTGTACAGTCGAACTGAAGAGCATCAAAGTAGTTTTTTTGCCGCCCAACACTACGTGTGCTCTTCAGCCGATGGACCAGGGTATCATTCAATACGTGAAGTCGAAGTACCGCAAGCACCCGCTAGAGTGAATGATCCTATGCTCAGAAGCTGGAAAGTTGAATCAAGTGGACTTACTCGGCGCAGTGCACATCATCGCCCACGTGTGGAAAAACACTCCGCCGCAAGTCATCGCCAACTGTTTTCGGCACAGCGGTTTTGTGAGGCCCGAGCATGCAGCAGTAGCTGACAATGGCATCGAGGAGGTGTCGGCCGAGTCCACCGACAATGACTGCCCGACTTTCGATGCTGTCCTTCCCACAAATGTGACCTTTCAAGACTACATCGCGACGAGTGGTCTCCTGAACGATCAAGAGATTATTAATGATGTCACGGGCGCCCATGAAGACCACGATTCCGACGAAGAATCATGCGAGGAGATACAGCCGCGACCTCATCGCACCTCACGGGAAGTCTCGGAGGCGCTGTTAATATTAGAGGATGCTTGCCTGAACACTCCCGACAGCTTGCGTGCTGTTGGCCATTTGGAACAGTTAAGAAAAATTGTGATGTCGGCCGGAATCTGCTGCAAAAACGCAGACGACAATTACAAAACACTTCAACAAATAAAGGTATGCTTCTGCAGCTTGATTTTAAATGTTGTTTTACCTGTTCATTCGTTAATTCGGCATTCGGTTAATTCGGACAGTTTTTCCGGTCCCGTGAAATCCGAATTAACGAGCTTTTACTGTATATCTCATCTGTCAGGAAGGCAGCATCTTCGTCAACTTTCTTGAGTTGAGGTGGAGCATTAAGGGGAGTTGCGAGTCGAAAAATCGCGTTTTTAGCGAAATTTCTCGTATTTCTGATTTTCATTGCATTGTAATCTTCAAACCTTCTTCTTTCATCTGTGAAAATTTCAAAACTAAATTCGAACCGCAAAATGCAAAAAAATGTGTATGAAGGCATTGCGGTGGCTCAAAATTTCGTGAATTTGCGCCGATATGGGCCATCTTTGACTGCGCGCTGCTCCCCGTCGCAGTGCCGCCCGCCATCGCGATCGGTTGGGAAAGTTGCGTCCGGCCTTCTTCTTACAGCTCCGACAACCGCCAGTTTCGTACGTGGGCAAAAAAAAAAAAAATAATGAGGCCTTTTTATCACGTGGTTTGAGCGGTTTGAAACGCGCGGCATCCTAAGCAGCATCGCGATTGGCTACCGAGTCATTGTCAGCTGTGTTGGTGGCGGCCATCGGCATTTGGTCCGTCTGCTTTTCTGCGCGTCTACGCATATTTCCACGATGACAAGCCCGAAAAAGTGCAACGTGAGACAGCAGAAGTTTCGAACGAAGCACAAGTTCAAGGGAAGGCGGCGTAAAGCGCCCCGAACGACGGCGACGAACGAGAACGCGCCTACGTGTGCTAGGCCTGACGGCGGCATCGACGAGTGCGCGAGCGACAGTGGCTGCGATGAAGGGATTGACGCTGCGCTTTCTTTCGTCAGTGCTTCGGAAAAGAAGCTCGGCTTCTTCGAAAAAGACGAAAGACAGCGCGACGAGGTTTGTGCAACGACAGTTTTGTGCGACACCCTCTTGCTGACGGCACTTGTGGCAGGTGCGGCATGCCCTGCTTGCGGTATTCAAAAACTTGCCGTTCGGGAGCCGGCAGAAAAGCGCAAGGGACTTTCGTCGCTCCTCGAACTTCATTGCGAAAACAGCGAATGCTCAGCGACTGTTCTTTCGTGCTCCTATACGTCACTGCGTGTTACGGCGGACGGCAGCAGCCGAGTGAGCCAACGGTACGACAGTGGGAGCTCCCGAGATAGTTTCGCTGTAAATGTGAAGGCGGTGGTGGCTGCACGCGCTGTCGGCATTGGGCATGAGCAATTGTCGAGATTTTGCTCGATTATTGGACTCCCAAAGCCAATGCACCACCGAGGATTTTTTTCGATAGCAAAGAAGGTGCACATCGCTGCCATGGCAGCTGTGAGTGAAAACTTGCGCCGATCCAGAGAGTTGACGAAGGAAGTAGCAGGCGAAACTGATGTGGCTGTTATGTTCGACGGCACTTGGCAGAAGAGGGGCCACAAAAGCCACAACGGAATTGGCGCAGTTATCTCCTTAGATACTGGCCTCTGCTTAGACTTCGAGGTCATATTAAATTACTGCCTGACATGCAGTAGGCACAAGGATATGGGCCCAGACGAGGAAGTGTGGCAGGCATTCCATGGCCCAGTCTGTGAAAAAAATGCAGACTGTTCCTCCCATGCCATGGAAACGGAGGCTGCAATGCGCATTTGGCAGAGAACATTGACTTATGACACCCCACTGCATTTCATGACATTCTTGAGTGACGGTGACAGCAAAGCATATAGTGCAGTTGCAGAGTCAAAAGTCTATGGTGCTGTCAATATAGAAAAAGAAGACTGCACTAATCATGTGGCCAAGAGACTTGGCACCGCGCTACGGAAGCTGCATGTGCCATTACCACGAGGGCAGAAAATGAAAGAGCCAGCCATTCAGAAGCTCCAAACATACTATCAGATTGCCATAACAAGCAACAGGGGGAGTGTACGGGATATGTACACTGCAGTATGGGCTTCGTACTTCCACTCATGCTCTACTGACAATGCTGGCAGCCACAAGTTTTGCCCTGCAGGAACAGAGTCGTGGTGCAAACATCAACGCGCTGAAGCACTTGGTGAACCTGCACCACGCCGCACACCTCTCCTGACAAAAGCACAGGGATTGGCTATTTTGCCCATTTATAAGCGGCTAACGGATGAGAAGCTCCTTGCTCGATGCATCAAAGGGAAAACCCAGAACGCATCGGAATCCCTGAACAGCAAAATTTGGCTACTTTGCCCCAAGACTAAGTTTGTCTCCCGAACGGTTGTCGAGACTGCCGCAGCTATGGCAATCCTGTGGTTCAACAAGGGTCATGCTACTTTCGAGCACATCGTAGAAGAGCTCAACATACTTGCCATCTAGAGATCTAGTTACTTTCAGTGATTCCTGCGATGCGAGGCGCATCAAGAGAATGTCCGAGCGTCTGACAGCAGAAGCAAGGGCCCACCGTCGTCGCGGAGTGAAAAGGGCACGGCTGGAAGAGAGTGTTCGCAAGGACCGTGAGGGCACAACCTATGCTGCAGGACAGTTCTAGTAACTTGCAGTGCTTTTCAAAGTTTTGTTGAACATTATGGCCAAAGATTATGCATTTCTAAGAACTATGTGATAAAAAAAAAAGGTTTCAAACTTTCAAATGCGTTTTTCCCCTTTTGCAGTTTTGTGTGATCTGTGCTTCTTATACACGCTAGTTCGTATACTTAGAATTGTCATACCTCTATGAAATTTGGCACATAGCATGATGAAGGCCCATAGAGTGCAAGTATCTATTCAGATTGTCAGTGCTGCTTGATTATGTTTTTCAAAAATTACATAACATTGAAAGCCCTTGGCAACTAGAGCCATAGTAAACTTTTCTATTTTATTATTGTATTTCACCTTTTTACAAACAAAATTTATATAGTTTTTTGCACTCTACAGTTCCAAAGGATCATAGTCAGCTATATCTGCATGCTTTATCTCAAATTTTTATAGGTCAGAATTGTTGCATAACAATGGCCATAATTTTGCAGTATCCTGCAGAAAGAAAACCAAGCAATCTACATGAAAATAAATGACATATTTGAAAAGAGGAGAAAAAACTCTATTAGCATGCCAATTTGTGTTAAATTCAGACTCTTATTAAAGAAAATCGTTTTTCGAGTAGCATCTCCCCTTAAGGGGGGGCGACATTATAGGATTTGTGGGATAAGCTCCAAATGTCTCACTACTGCCCAGGCCGAGCCATAGTTCGCAGCCCTTGCCATGGAGTCCTCCTACCAGTAGCAGTGGTGGCAACGCCCCGCCCCGACCCGAAGTGGGCACCCGGCCTCTCTCGACGCTGGTGAGCCCCCGAGAACAGGAGCAGTACGTGAGTGGCCTCGGTTCCCTGGCCGTGGGTCACCACCCGGGTCCTCACGGGGGCCCTACGGCCGTATCCGAGCCCCCCACCCACTGGAGTCCCCACCCACCTCCGCCAGATCTGAGGGCACAGCGAGACCTGCTTCGACAGGAGGCCAAGATGGAGGAAATGAAAGAGGAGGTGCAGTCTTTTGGTAGATTGGTTTCGTCACTGCAGCATTCACAGTTTTCCCCCCAAAGATGGGGGGAAAACTTAATTGGTGCACTTAGCTGATGGCAATGCGGAAAGGCTGATCACACAATTCAAGGTTTAATGTACCTATAACATTAACCTCAATTATTTTTTCAAGATTTGAAAAAAAGTGATAGAGGGGCTTAGTAATGCAATTTTTAAAATGTGTCGTATTTTGCCAGTAATAACTTGCATCGTCCTGCTCTACAAACCTTGCTACTCTTCAAAGCTGCTTTCCCTTCACTTGGAACCACACAAGTGATATTCACACATGCCTGGCTCCAATTCTTGAAATTATTGTGCAAGTTAGTTGGGTCATCATGAAAATTCAACATTTTAAAATATGTGGCATATGCTATTTGATTCGATGTTATTTGACCAAATCACTATACTTTTCGCATATCTCTAGCGTTAACCCTTTTGTTACTGAAGGAAAAAAAAAAATGTGCCGAGATTATTGGGAGGGAAAAAAATCTGGTTGGTCATTTTACATGTACGCAACCCCAGTGGTAACTTCACTGGTCAGCAAAAGTGGTGAAAATTGACTTTGACCTTGTAATATTCAAAATATGATAGTGGAACCAGTGACAGTGTAAAGTGGTAATGAGAAATGTATCTCACAATGTGTTGTTACATTATGTACTTAATCCTAATAGGCACCAATTGAAAAACGCTTAGGCAATTTCTTTCCAAAAAGTATGATAGTGGAACCAGTGATAGTGTAAAGTGGTAATGGGAAATGTATCTCACAGTGTATTGTTACATTATGTACTTAATCCTAATATGCAGCATCTTAAAGTTCAATTGAGAAATGCTTAGGCAATCGCTTTCCAATTCTCAGGTACGGCGGCGAGAGGAGCGAGACCTCCACCAGCAGTTAGTCACGAAACCCCAAATGAAGCAGCACCTACAGCAAGGGGTCAGGTCGCCACTACCTTCGGAGACCAGCAATGGGCACCACCCAAACAACAGGCAAGTTCTTCCCATGGATCACTCTTGGAGTCCGGTTTATTGGCAAATCTTGTTGCTATAACACCGGAGTTGTGGGCCTTTCGCAGTCTACTGCTGCTGAGATACGACTACGATTCTTTGAGTAACTTCCTGCTACAATTGTACAGTCGAATATCGGATAATTCGAGCTTGAAGGAGCCCGAAAATTTGTTCGAATTAATGAACTCTAAATGAACAGAGGGTTCACCATGCAGTAGCAGCATGTGCATTGAGCTAACACACGAGGGGGAAGTTTCAGAAGACTTACATTTCTTCACAAATCACAGGACATCCGTCATTAATTAAAGTAATCGGTGATGCGTGTATGCACACGTTTGCCTTGCAGTGAGTCAATCGATTTCGCACACAACTTGCGAAGCGTTTCTACTTTGGCTTCAGCATTCTCCTGGCAAGGGAAGTTGCGTGCGGCTATGTCTAGCGCCATCACTTTCTAAAGACGACGGCGATGACTGCATCTCCGATGCTACCCTCTGCGCCGCAGCCGTGGCCAGCACGTGACGAGATAGGAGGAGCGCCTCCGTGAAGAGAGAAGCAGATCAACATTTCAGAGAGAACCAACACTCTACTGCAACTTTTTTTTTTCTCTTCACGCGCGGTGTTGAAAGAAGGGTTTCTACGTGGCAGTGACGGGAAAGGAAGAGGCGCGTCACCGGTGCATCGCAGATCGGCATTTGAAAGAGAGCCAACACTCCGCGACAGCTTTTTTTCTCTTTCCCTCTTCGCGCGCGGCGTTGAGGTGTCAGAGATGCCGCCTCTGGATTGGGCGTAGTGCTGAGAGCATTTTCAGAGCGCGGAATGTTCCACTTATCCATCGCAAGTGCTTGCGAGTTCGAATTACAGGGCATTTTCGCCCATTGGAATATACATAGCTTTGACGGGACCACAGTGTCAGTTCTAATTAACTGGAAGTCTGAATTAAATGTGTTTGAATTGATCAAATTCGACTGTACAATCAGTGGATGACATCGCATACTTATAACACTAATGCTTTCAGTTACATTGGATTTTAGATCGGTGGGTGTTCACGTCAGTAAAATGATTTGTTGTGAAGCATTCGGTGTATGTGTTTTGGCAGTGATGCCATTCATTCAAGTGAACCAACTTGTGAAAACTCAGTTACTTTCACAGTCCTAGTACTCCGATGTGGCAGAAGGATCATTTGGCTGTGATTTGTAGTTTTAAGATGAACACTGAACATGCAGGATACCCCGTGATGCTGCTCAGGTGGCCAGCCCCTCACCCTGGGAACGAGAGGAAAAGGAGATGGTGAGCTCTCACCTACCCACAGACATGGAGCGCAGGCTTAGGAGTGCTAAATACCGAGTTTCATCAACTGTGCTGTGTGCAAACTTTAATCATAGTGCTAATGTTAACAGTTTTGCTTGTGTGAGCAGCATTTGATTTATATGTGGCGTTTAACGTCCCCAAACCACCATATACCGTATTTATTCGCATAATGATCGCACTCGCATGATGATCCCGCCCCTAAATTTTGTCGTCTAAATACGACTTTTTTTTCCCCGCGTAATGATCGCACCCTGAACTTGCCGCGTCGATATGTCATGTGCCAAGTCTAGCTGAACGCGCCTATCAATGTTTCTGTGATCTGAAAGCGGGCATCACTATGCTAATGTCGTAAATTTACTGATTTAAATGAAAGCGTTCCTTATTTAGATGGAAGAAACTGTTCTGACGCGCGTGAAATACTCGCAACCACCATAACCGACGCTAAGAAGGAAAAAAATGCGGTGGCTTCGCTTCATCATCCGCCATGCTTGTTTTGACATCCCGCACTGTTACAGCGTTGGCCGCCTGTTGGTCGACCTGTGTTCCAGTCTGATTATGCTCAACCTCCTGCTTGTCTTCCATATTGCTGTGTGCAAATAACCTTGACACAATACAGTTGAACCTCGATATATTGAACGGCGCGGCGATCGCGAAATAGTTTGATATATCCAGAATTCGATATTAAAAATCACAAAAAAATGTGTCAACAGCTTGCTGAAAACAACCAACGAACCCTTCAAGCATGGTGAAGTAAATACTCACTTGAAGATTCAAACATAGTATTTATTGTGTTTGTTTAAAATATTGAAAAAAAGTAGCCTGCTTTTTGTTGGCCATGGCGTGTTTGACGACTGCATCCTCAATATAGTCCAGGCAATTCATAAGTGATAGGCCGGTGCCTTCAATCGCGTCGCAGTGGCGGCGCACAAGGGCCAAGGCAGCTACGACCTCAGCTGATGTCGGGAGCGGGGCACCATCAGCGCTTGCAGGATCCACCTCGGCAGAGTTTTCATTTGGCTGCTCAGCAGTAGCTTCGGCGACAATCTCCACATCCGTGAGCTCCGCCGTTCAGAGTTAGGACTACGCGCGACAGGCCTAATTCCGAACGCACGAACACTGCGAGCACAACGACCGATGCCTGCCGATGCTACGGGGGAGGAACTTGCAACAAGTGGTGGTGGTAGTGGTTGTAAGGAAGAGGAAAAAAAAGGCACCTAATTTCTGTCTGCCTTCAGGCGACACGGCGCAGTGCCTTATAGGGGTGGGGGGAAGGTGGGATAAAAAGAATAGAAGGAAATAGATGAAGAAATAGACAGGCAAGCCACGAAAAAAGAAGAAGATAGGAAAGTGGGGATCCGGTCGAAGCAGTCCAAGGGCAGGGGCACCACAATGCGAGAGCTGCACGGCGTCAGGAGACCGCAGAGGGCGAACCAGTCGGCGGGAGCTACGCTGTCGTCGGAGATCGTGAGGGCACAACCGTCCAGCTTGAAATTCTGCGAGCGAATCCTCCCAACAAGTGCGCAGTGTGCCGTTGACACCATAGAGACTGCAACGACTGCAAGCTGCAAGGCAGCGGCGCGCGTAGGCCGCTACCTTAAAAGTGGCGCTCTCGGCGCCATCGATGTGTGCAGCATTCGTAAACGCCCGCCGCTCTACCGCTACTTTCGAGAGATGCGGGAAAGCTCGCCGCCTGTCAGTGGAGCGCGGGTGGTTTGGGGTGGCTGAGTTCGATATATCCATTATATGTCAAACTTTGTTCGAAATAAAAAATCAATAATGCATGTGATTTCCTGCGTGATATAGGAACCGTTCGATATAGGCAATAATTCGATATATCCGTGTTCGATATATTGAGGTTTGACTGTAGCACAAACTCGGACACCTTCAAGCCTTTGTGCACATTTTCACTATTATCAGGCCAGTGCAGTAGATCACAGCATCACTGTGGCACTCTGTACAGTGTGAAGTTGTTTGTTCTGGAGAAATTTGCCCCAAACTGGGAGGACCACTTATCATTTAAAGACTGCAAGTGTCAGTTGTGACCCTAGCTGATAGAGCCTCGAATCATCCATTTGTGCTGATGTAGTGCATGTGTGAATGCCTCGACCCTGAGTTGGAGCATTGCTGAATTTAACGTCCAAAACTTGTGTGTACAGCGGCGCCTTCAGCGACTGGAAGAAATGCGCCAGATGCGAGATGAGGAGTTGCAAGAGCTGGAGTCTCTACCAAACCGGACGAGTCGACAGGAAGAACGTCTCAGGGCTCTGAGGCTGGAACGAGAGTTTGAGCGGCGGGCACAGGAACTTGCCGGGGACGATGACGACGATGAACAGGTGCCAGAGCCGGCATCGAGCAGTCGTTTGATTGGGTCTCCTCACTTTGGCTGTATCAAGTGCAATGTTGGGAGCATTATTGGTGCACTAGATCTCGAAAAAAAAAAAAAAAAAAAAAACTTTATTCATGTTAAGCAGTGAGCAAGCCTTAACGTGTGAAACTGCAAATATCATGGCACTCCAGAAGCAGCAACATTTGGCTGCATCAAGTGCAACGTCGGGAGCATTATTGGTGCACTAGATCTGGGAAAAAAAAAAAAACTTTATTCGTGTTAAGCAGTGAGGAAGCCTTTAACGTGTGGAACTGCATATATCATGGCACTCCAGAAGCAGCAACATGTGTTGTGCATGGCTGTTGGAGAAAAAAACAAGTTGCCCTATTGCTTCAGGAGAATTTGTTCTTGACCTAGTTGGTGTGTGTTTTAAGGCCTATTTGCTGCTAACAGAGTGCACATAGAAAGGTCGCTCGTGCCATTATCTTTGTTGTCTGTGTGCACCCTTTTAGTGGCAAGTATGCCTTAAAATGCCCTTTTGCTTCAGTGTCTGATGCTTTGGCTGTCCGTTTCTATTCACTCCAGCCATGCTGCAACACACTGTACGATGCTGTATTGCAGGGAGAGGAATGGTCTGGCAGTGATTAAAATGTCTCTATACCGCAGATTGGAAAAATTTGTGTGCACCAAGATGTCACTCCTGGTAGTCGATAAATTGCATTTCATGCTCTTTGATACAGCATCGCCTGTACTGGCGGTGCTTTAACTTGTTAGAAGCCAAACCTTTTATGCTGTTGTTTGTTGCTGCAGCCATTGTGTGTTCAAGTAGAGACCACTCGTGTGTGTCAGCCTGCTTGCTGTGTCTATCTGCACTTGTGTTAACATTCTGCTTTCTGGCATACCACGCATGCTGCTTTGGGAAGCACTGGATTGGCACATCCAGCTTCTGGGGAAGTAGGTGTCCCTCGTTCCTCGCACATGTGTTCGTACAAGACCGCACAGTGGGACTACCTCATGACGGGCTTTCTTTTCCTCTCACTGCTTTCAGGACTTGACATCTGAGGTGCCGCCACTAAAGGAACGCCCCTCCCAGCATTCTTGGGAGCCAGTTCATACAATTACTCCCCGTCACTTGGAGGTGAGCTCTTGAGAGAGAGAAAGAAAAAAGCGTGGGCAAGGGAGCTAGCCCTTGGCTTGTACAGTTTGTTATCCTGTTCACTTGAATAGAGTAGGCTTGTGCAAAGATTTGAAAGCTTTGAATATTCAAACAAATATTTCTGCATTTGAATTCGCTTCGATTCGAATTTGAATAGTTGAAAATTTCGATGTATTCAGAATGAACGAATAAGTGTTAAAAAAACGCTTGTAACCGCCCCCCCCCCCCCCCCTAAAAAGGTTGTTTCTCTGCAGTGAAGGGGTGCTAACCCAAGAAAGCACCTATTTCGGTGTATATTAGCCTCCATTTAATTTTTTGTAAAGGTAATTTCACTGCTTCGGAGGAATGCTAAGCCATGAAAATAGCTATTCAGGGGAAATCGGCAATTTTGCGAAGCTTCACCTCAATGTTAAATTGCATTTTACCGAAAGTCAAATCCACTACTATTCAAAGTTGTTTCCACTTTCTTTAAACCAGAGAAAGAGAGTTTGCACAAGCCTTGTTTCATTTTTTTTTTTAATCATTGTCCAAGTTATTTGGGTCACGACAGGCATGCCTATATTTATTTATAGTGATATATACCGTATTTACTCGATTCTACCGCGCCCTCGATTGTAACGCGCACCCGATTTCCACCGCGAAAAAAAAAAAAAACGTAAGACATCGATTGCAACGCGCACCCATTTTTCTCGCTGGCCCGCATGATCACACCGCTCGAAAAAATGACTCCTTTCGGGAGCGTCTTCCATTTAAATATGAGGTACGGGCGAAGCTTGTGCCCATCTGACGTGTAACAGAGCATTGCTGTCACTGTAGTTTTACCGTAGACCGATGTCAGCACGCGAACTTGCTTCGCCCCCTTCTTCTCGACGGTTGTGGTGACAGGCATGTCGAAGTAAAGAGGCGTCTGATCGGCATTCCCGATTTGCCCAAGCAGGTAGCCGTTATTGCGCCGCAAGTTTAGGACGAACCTCTGAAAACTGTGAAGCTTTTCATCGTACTCCTCCGCAAAACTTTTCGCATATGCATGTTCCCCTTCGGAGGGAAAAGCCTTTCCTCTTCATAAAGTTAGTTAGCCAGCACCTGCTCGCTTTAAACTGGCTCCGCATTAGACCTTTTTCTAAGACTAATTGCATAGCCCGCACTTGGAGCAGTTCTGTCGTCACGGGCCGCTGTGCCGCTCGCTGCTCAAGCACATACTCGCCGAGCAGCTCTTTAATTTGCGGAAACCGACCCTGTTGTGGTCCACTGAAGCCTTTGCATGAAGCTTTGCTGTCGACAATCTTCTGCTTTTGTTTCCGCCGGTCCCGCACGCACTTTTCAGGAACCGAACGACCGCGATGCGGCCCGATTTCCGTCCGTTTCTGCACACGCGATGACTTTTCTTTTGAAAGCGGCATCGTGGTGCACTTGAGTTTTTGGAGTCGGCCCTTCCACGCCGTCGATGCTAATGCACTACTAGATGACGAACTCCTCAGCACACGTACGGAGTGCCGCACATGGGAAACGCAGCCAGAAATGGCCGACGCGGCATGCCGACGCACGTAGGGGGCGGCCATTTTGGATTTGCCGATGGCAATAGATTGACCGTAATTTTTTTGTTCGTACTCGATTCTAACGCGCATGCGATTTATGAACTCGCTTAACCGGAAAAAAGGTGCGCGTTAGATTCGAGTAATTACGGTAATATTTGAACTTGAAATTCTTCAACCGAAATACCTATTTGCTTCGAAGCTGAAATTCCTTATTCTCACAAGCCTAAAAAAGAAGAATAAAAGCGAGCCAACACTGCATACAGTGCATTGACTTGTCAATGCTTGGCACAATTTAGTTCAGCCACTAGCAATTTTTTTTCAATGCTTAGCTTGCTTATTTTTTTGCCATTGAGCAACACCATGGGCATGAAAGAATCATCATTTTCAAAAGGTGTGAACAATCCATGCAGTTAAACAGCATTCATGAAAAAAAAGGCATCGAAATGACAATGCTGTCAAAGACATTTTCGCTTGATTAAAATGTCACTTAACACTGCCATTTCTAAGAGCTCATTTTCTGTATCCCATGTGGATCAATTTTTAAGGGGATTTGACATCTGAATTCAAGAAACATGTCGCTAGTTATCTCCAGAGTGACTGAAGTCTCAGTGCTGATTCTGATATATGAATATTTTCTACCATAGTTCTATTTAAAAGCATTGTGACCACGTCAGGTGCCTCACAGGAAAAAAAAAAAAACTATAAAAATTTCACTAGGCCTGTCGCATCTCTGTAGCTTACCCGAACCCAGCATTACTAATCAAAACAGCTAAGTAAATAATACGAGTACCATTTAGCGACTTCACCATTTTATTTTTTTGTCATACAATGGGCCGTAAACAAAACATCCACAGGCCACATGTTTGAGACCCCTGGCTTAATATAAATTGAATAGTCGTACTTTCCACACCAGAATCATAGTAGTCTTGTAAAGAGTGCCTTTCTCGTGTATTGGCAGCACTTGTGAAGAATTTGGAAAGGAACGCCGGATAGCTGACTTCCGGGCACAGAATCATCATGGAATGTGAAAATACAGTAGATCCCCAGTAAACAGAACCTGAAGGGACTGGGAAAATGTGTTCCATTTAAGAGGAGTTCCGTTTACTGAGAGGTAAACAAAGGTGCAGAATACTAGCCCGAAACCAAGTGTTGTAGAGGCAATAGTTCCGTTTAAGGAGTAGTTCAATGGATTTCCGTTTACTTAGAGTCTACTGTACAAGTGCAGCGAGATTTGAGTCTACATAGTATAAGGAATGCCCAGTAGCCAAAACAACTGCTGTAGCCCGGCATGTTGTGTAGCCTGGTGCAAACCTTGGCCATAGTGATCAGTGTCTCAGTAAATGCATTTTCTTTCAGGAACAAGAGGTTCGCCTGCGACAGCTGAGACTGGAGGAAAGTGGTAAGCAGCAGGAGCTGGCTGCTCAGCGTATGGCCGAAGAGCAACTGCTACGTGAGGCACAGCGCCGACAGCAACAGCAGCTGCAGCATCAGCAACAGCAGCAACATCAGCAGCAGCTGTTGCAGAAACAGCAACAATTGCAGCAGCAGCAGCAGCCATTACAGCAACAGCGACAATTGCAGCAGCAGCAGCAACAACAACAACAACAACAGCAGCAGCAGCAGCAGCAACAACAGCAGCAGCAGCAGCAGCAGCAATATCAAGAACAGCAACAGCACCACCACCAACTACAGCAGCAGCATCAGCAGGAAGAGCAGCAGCCTCAGGATGACCAGCCGCCCCCGCTGCCAGCATGCCCACCACCCCCACCTGATCGCAGACCTCCACCCTCCAAGAAGGTGTCTTTTACAGAAGCACCCCCTGTTGAGGCAAGTGCACTTCTGTCAGCTGCCTATGTCTGTTGCACAGTAGTCTGCGGTGCTCAGCTGCTGACCCGAAGGTTGTGGGTTCAATCTCGGCCTGTGGCAGTCGCATTTCGATGAACGCATAATGCTAGGGCCTGTGTGTTGTGCAACGTCAATGCACGTTAAAGAACACCAGATGGTCACAATTTCTGGAGCCCCCACTACAGCGTCCTTCATAATCATATTATGGTTTCGGTATGCAAAACCCCAGATATTACAGTTAAACTTGGATATAATAAAGTTGATAAATTCCCGGAAAAATTTGTTATAAAGAGGATTTCGTTATATGGAGGTTTGGTTCGAAAATTCGAAAGTAAATGCGCAGATTAAGCAAAAGAGGAACTCAAAGCAGAGCTAATCCGAAACACTTATTTCACAAAAAAAAAAAAACTGTGATATTACTTCGATACCAATTATATGAACACTATCGGCGGGTCTTTGCTATCGTAAGCACTATCACTTGTTCCCAAGCACGCGCAAGCATGTGTAGTGCACTTAGGAGCGTCAGTTGGTAGTTATTGCACAAAATAATTTGTTCCAACATATGACGCCGAATAAAATGATTCTAAATTTCTAAATGCCCTGGTTCATTGGCTGCAGTACCGCTGTCGTGTTTGCTGGAAGGAAGGCCAGCTTGTCGTGTTCTCTGGAAGGAAGTGTTTTGGCACGGTATTTGCCACAGGCACATGCCATAAGTGTCGGAGCAGCAGAATCACGACAGACGGGAAGCTACTACCAGCACTACCGCAACAAACGTTAGCCGAGGCCTAACACCAACACAAAGAATCGCAACAGTCGGAAGCTACTCGCAGGACCAACAACCAAGGTGTACGACGCACACCCTGAGACAGAGACTGCAGAGAAGGCTGGGCGGGCGAAGCTACGACGGTTTTCTGCGCCCATGCTTCCTGCTCCGCAGCTCCCACTCTGCCTTGCTGACCATGCCCTCCCGTGTTGCCCTCGCCTCTGCGCTTGTAAACCTGCAGCGTCCTGCGCTTTTCATTTTTCATTTTTGTCACTTCTACATGTGCTCAAGGAGGCCTTGTTTGTCAGTCGTGTTCATCTCTTTTCGGTGATTATTTATCGCGTCCGCAAAGCAAGTCAGCGTTTGCGCTGCTGGTGATACTACAAATGAGTTCATCTCTGCTTGTGACGAAGAAGCGGAAGCAGTTTTCGCCAAGCGAGAAAGCGGATATTCTTTAGCAACTGGAAGGCGAAAAGCAGGCTGTTGTGACCCAAGAACCTGAATCACACCACAGGAATGTGGATGAGTTAGAGGCCCTCATGCTGCACAGTTTGTGCTGCCAGCGTCAAAAATAATAATAATAATAATAAAACATCACAGACCTCTTTAAAGTAAGCATGAATTTTTTTGTGTTTATTTGTAAATTTGTTGTTTCTCATGAAAAACAAGTTCAAGGAACCACCATTGTAAAGGCAAGTCGTTTTGGTTGGCGGAAAATAATTATTCATCGTTAATTTTTGGGCTTTCGCACTGTATTAAGCAGCTGCCTGTCGACTACCGGTTCAACAGAAGGGCTTGAATAACTGCCGAACTCTTTCAAACCTGGCTGTATTAGCTCGACCGCCGCTTTGCGACCAAGGCTCGGAAGGTGTTGTTCGTGCTAGACAACTGTAGTGCGCACACGAAGGTGTCCGGGCTCGAGAACATTGAACTGCTATTCCTGCCTTCAAACACAACGGCTTCCCTGCAGCCGATGGAGCAATCATACAAGCTGCTATTGTAGGTAGGCACTCGAGCGGATGTTGCTCTGCATGGAGTCAGGCAAGCAGTACGAAGTAAGCCTGCTAAGCGCAATACACATGCTGACATACGTGTTGAGTGTCTGTACCTACACAGTGTGGAACAACACCCCTCCTGCAGTAGTCGCAAACTGCTTTAGGCATAGCGCCTTCGTGCACGACGCTGCTGATCTGGGTGTGGTGGCCGATGAGGAAACCGGCGAATAGCAAGACGGCCGATATGTGAGCATCATGCCAGCTGATGTGCCCCTTGGCTGATTACTTCTCAATCGACAGCAATATTGCCACGGTCGGCACAGTGACCGACAGCGATATCGTTGCCGAAGTCTCGGATGGTGAAGGGGAATCGGCTGCACATGGACGTAAGTGATGCTGTCGAGTCTCCACGCCCTACAATGACGGAGGCTGCGCATGGGTTGGCCGTTTTGAAGGACATATGTATGCTTTCCTCAGACAGTGTGCGCGGACTACGCCATTGGCAGGAACTTCGCAAAATTGTGACTTCGCCGCACATTGCATCCGTGAAGCAAACCGCGATCACAGACTTCTTTAAGAAATGAAAATCTGATGGTGTAGGAGACATTTTTCAAGTGTTTTGTTCGTACTCGCTATAATTCGCACACTCGGTTAATTCGGACATCCTCTCCAGTCCAGTGAAGTCCGAATGAACGGGATTTTACTGTACTATATTGGTGTTTTGTGGCACTGCCTGAGCTATGCGCCAGTTCCTTTGTGTTGGTGGTCAATGATCGCTTAGTCAGTCATGGTTCAATCTGCCCAGTGTGCATCCATCTGGATCTGCACTGGATAGCATCAAACTGTGTGGACAAATGTTTTTGTAGAGCCCCCCATGTGGCCTGCATTGTGCAGTGCCAACTACTGTGCACTTGCTGGCTTTTCCCATGCAAGTGCCAGCAAGCCTAACAATGATGTCCCAACTTGCAGCAATCTTTAGAGGTGGTGCGTAGAATAAGCAACCAAGAAGTGGCAGCCAACTTCAACTCATTTGCTTTGGCTGACAGTGCCATTCCTATTGCCTCAGCGATGGATGGCCAGGATATCAAGAAAGCAATGTGTGCAAACACATGTACAAGAGATCTGGACAACACAAACACTGTTGTCTTGATCTCTGCTATTGTGTCTGTTTTTGCACACCTTATCAACTAGCTCAGCTTCCTGTTGCTTATAAGCCAGCTAGCCCAGCTCAAAGCCTGCTTCTTATCAGTCCTTCGCTGTGCTCTTGCAATTGCAGGTGTGCCCCCAGGACGATGAAGAGGAAGAGTCAGGTTACACTTTACAGGATATTGATGCAGTGCTGAATGCTCCACCAGGTGGTTACCTGGTGGCATCCACACCAGGCGTCATCGGTGCACAGGAGGTGTATCGTGACCCTCGACAGCGAATCGAACGTCAGCGAGCTCTGCAGCAGCCAAGCCGGCCGCCCGGACCCGAGAAGCTCACCTTCCGTGAGAAGATGCGCATGTTTGCTCGCGAGACGGGCGAAGAGCACACACCACGAGACAAGATGAAGATCTCTCGTGCACAACGGGAAATCGAGACCAGCCTTAACGGTGTGCCTACACCCAACCGCTGAGACTTGTACCAAGACAACCAAGCAAAATCAAATGCCACTGTAATGCAATTAAGGACTAAATGGTGGACCATTTCTATGCTGTTTTAGACTGAAGCGAATTGCGTGTTTTTAATCGCAGAGAATATGGCTGCTGTCATGGTTCGAACTTTTGTGCAGTTTGAATAGGTTGTTACTCTGCTGCCCTTTGAGCCGTGTTGTTACAACGTCCTTCCCTTCTGATCAACTTGAACCATAATGTGTGGTGGACATATGATGAATAACGATGTATTGAACTGCATTGAAATGCCACTTGAGGATGAATTGTGGCTGCTTTTATGCACTTCTAATGAACTCTACTAGTTTAGCAACTTGTTGTTCATCCTTATGGCTGATGACGTTTTCTTTTTACAACTCATTCTGTAGCATTATGAGAAAGTTCTTACTATCATTTAGCTCAAACTTTGGTACTCACTAGCGGCAAGCTATGTTATCAGTAGCCTATGAGGATGCTTTTAGTCAAGGGCCAAATTATTCTTCTAGAGGCTGTTTTTAATTATACTCTTGCTCTTGGAATGCCCATTTACTCAATCTATACACACAACAGCCATTATTTCTGTACTTTCAGAGACTTTAATGATTATCACTGCAGTGTGGTTGTGTGAGAAGTACTCAGTTTTGCAGTGCAGATGTTAAATATGTTTGTTGTATGACCAATTTTAAATTGCAAGAGCATTTTTACTGAAGAAAAGTATATGTCTACCTTTATAGATATTTTTTTCACACCTCCAAACATGCGCAAGAGAGTCACAATGGCCACAGGGCCAGCTTTTCAAAGGTGCTTTATACAATGAGCCTCATTTTTCTTGTTCATTCACCGGAGTGCCTCCCATTTTATCATCATGCAGCTAACTGAAAGCAGCTAACACACACATATCGAGTGTACAGCCAGTTTCACAAGATGTGACACTACTCCTGTTTGGAGGGCAAAGCGCTGTGCACAAAACCTGTTGTCATATGATGTGCTATTTTACCAGAGTGCCCGTTTTTTATTACTGTGCAGCAGCTAAATAAAGAGCTACCTGAAAGTTGTATCATGTGTTTTCTTTGGCATAGAAACTGTGCGCCTGAACATCCTGGGACGTTGGCAATGGCCATGGCTGGTCTTTGTGACAGGCAGTTGCTTGCATGCCCTCACTTCTGCCTAACTTCATTATTTTTTGTTCTTCGTAAACCTGTACGTGCAAGTTTGGAAGCTGGTTTATGAGAGACGTTTTTGCTCCCTTTTTGGGAGTTCACTTCAAGCAATTGCACAAGTGAGCTACGTTTCGTGGCATGTTCAGATGCAGAACCGACCCTTGGTCGTTGAAGGTATTTGCTTGTGTAGCCATCTCAGAAGGCTCTACATTTCCAGTATGCTGGTATGGCTTTACTGTGCCCACCATTGCTGCTTTATGGGTTTCATTACCACTGTTGTGTGTTGCTGGTTCACGGTCTGAAACTCCTTTTGACGCAGAAGCAGCTTCATTTAGATCCCATTGGTTGGCATGTCTATGATGAAAGAAATTGACCACTGAACGTACGTGCGGGCTGCCATTTGGCAGTTTTATTGGAGGTGGTGTCTTTGGACAGTCTGTAAGGTGTAGTTTCTCCATCATTCTGCAAGGGCAAAGGAGCTGATGGTCGCATGTCTCTTTTGCTAGTGTTGGCATGTGTCACATCATTGTCCCGCCCTTTACCTGCATCAATAAAAAAGTGTTTTGGGGATGCCGATTCATGACTGCCTCGTTGCTGGGCTTTTTCTTCCAGGATTTGAACAAGTGAAGTGACATTATTTTGCGGTAAGTCTATCTGCAGAGTTTTCTGGATTTCATTGCTGATGGTAGCACCTGTATGTTGTGGCTTGCTCGGACCTTCAATAAGTGAGGGTAAAATATCAGCGCAGTCCGTTGCCACACTTTTGGTTTGCCTTGACCTGTCTTCTGTTTGAGTACCCTTGTTTGACAATCTAGGTGGCGGCTTGTTTAGGTTAACAAGTGGTATGGTTTTCGACTTGTTGACCAAGAAAAGGACTCGCTCTTGATACTCATTTGCTCATTAAGCATACAAGTTTTCTTTGAGTTGAAATGCTTATCCCTTCGCTCATTTTCAACTACAAATGGCAGCTCCTTAGAGTGAGTGTTTCTGGTGCCATTGTTTTCAAAGGCTGTGTTCGTATTGTCTTGTAGCTTTGGTTTTCTAGAGACTGAATTCGGACACGAGCTTATTGTTTTGGACAATTTGGTATCGTCATCTGCTGCTGCTTGCTTCAAGGAGATGTGTCATTTTGGCACAAGCCTCCATAATTTTGTTAACTGCATCCAGCAGCGATTTGTTTTTATGCGGTGCCTTATGACTGGGTGGTGTCTGTGTCTCTACCTTTTGAGCGTTAATTATTACAGCTGGTCCAAAACCTTCAATTCTCGCAGAAACAATATGTGGCCACTCACCACTTGGTAGATCCTGTGAATGTCGAGCATTAGTGTTCTGTGGCCCTGGCACTGAATTCTGCTCGGCAGCTTTAAGGCCTTCCCTTTTCTCTGAAGACCTCATGGGCGGCTTTATAACATATGCTGCTTGGTCATCTCTTGGAGTTGCTGATCGTTTCTTAGTTTCCCTTGAATAGCTTTTTTCTTTGTCGTCAATTGGTGTTTCTGTAACCTTGTTCCCAGCAATCATTTCTGATTCTGTGTCTATTGGTTCTTGCAGGCTTCTCTTCGTAGACATACGCCGTTTTTTTGGCCTCAAACGTTTCTTCCCGTTTGCAAAGTCCTCCACCTTAGTGCTCACACTAGGAGCCTTGTGTTCCCTTCCTGAACTGTGGTGTGTATCATTTTGTAAAGGCTCATCATCACTTGTGTTCTGTGGTAATCCTGGAGCTACTTGGGGTTCCACTTTGTTAACCAACCCTGCATTTCCTTGAAAATTGGCAGAGGGCTTTTTCGTACTCTGCTCAGATTTAGGTTGCAGTCCGTTTCTTGGCTCTCGTGAAGAACTGTTGCGTGACACCTTATTAGATCTTGGTGCTAACTTGAAATGCTGCTTGTTGCTTGTATTATTCGGAGTGGGAACGTCTAATTTAGGCTTCTGCGATGGATCTTTGGTAGGTGACCCAGTCCTTTCTTGAAGGTTTCCAGGGTGCTTCCCACTTCTTGGTTTATGTATTGGTTGCGGTCTCTCTTTTGGCTTGTCTGAAGGAATGTTTCTTGTTGCACCATCAGATTTGACTACTCTCCCTGAAGACTGCTTGTTTCCTGTTTCATTTGGCGCAGGAGCATTTGATGGAGCTTGTTGTGACGACTTTTTACGTGAACTTTTTTTTTCTAGAGCATGTACAGGATACTTTGCACTACTTGGATCAGAAATCTTTTGCACTCTGTTTCTTGGCCTCCGTTTAGTGATACTTGTTGATTCTTGATCGGAACTGGCTGCTGTCCCTGAAGGCTGCTTCTTGCTTGTCCTTGGTGCACGTACTTTTTGTTTTACGCTTTGCGATAAACTTTTGGATTGCTCTGTCTTTTGGTAAAAACCTGCAGGGTGTTTCTGACTTGGCTCATGTTTGTGCTGTCTGTCTGTCTGCTTATGCGATTTGGTAGTTCCGGTGGTCACTTTTAACGGTTGCTTCTCACCAGTGTTCTCTGGTGCAAGTAGTTTTGGTGAGACTATTTTTGGAAGTGGCTTGTTGGGTAATTGCGTCTTGTTTTGAAGGCCTACAATATTCATTGCATCTGTCTTGAGTTTGGGTTGCGGCTCATTCATGTGCTCATGAGGGGAAGTGCTTGGCACTCCACGAAAGCTAGCACCAATATGCGGAGGCTGCACATTAATTGTGGCCTGTGGCACAGGCACTCTCAGTGAACTTTCTTGTGCAGACACGTTATCGAATATGCCTGACTTTCCTGGAATGTCTGCAGTGTTCTCTTTTCTTGCTTCCGATTTGAGTGGTGGTTTATTGAGTACATTCTGTAAAGGGGGATTGCCTTCCTCTGCAGCAGAACAGGCAGCAGTGTTGCTTGTGTTCTGCATTTCTGGAATGCTCAACACAGCTGCTTGTGATGATGGCTTATTAGGTTGCACAGTCTTTTGCCCAAAGTTTGGAGAATGCGATTTCAGCGATTCTGTAAGCAACCTTTTTGGCTGACCCTCCCGATTTTTTTTATCTCTGTTTTGATTGCTTTCATCTCTGGGCAACTCTGGTGGCTGCTGCAATCCTAACTTAGAACTGGTGTCATCGGAAACTTTTAACTTCGGTTTCTCATCTGCGACTGCTGATACACCTTTGGGAACAGTGTTCCTTTGTTTAGGTCTTGCTCTCTGTTCGTGACATGCATGAGATCCATGTCTAGCCTTTTTGTTGTCATTTTGGTGTGTCTGATTTACGTTTGGTTTTGCAAAAGATGGCTTTGCGATTTGAGTAGTGGCAGTTTTCCTGTTTTCCTTTCTTGCAGACATTCCCCTGTTCCTGGTTGGTCTCGTAGATTGCTTGGACAGAAGGCTTGCATTTTGGCACTTGATGACATCCTCAACCGGTGTTTTACTTTCGGTTTCCCCATCATCTGCCATAATGATTTCCTTATCATCAGTACCAAGTTCTTCATCAGAAGACGCTACCAGCTGGGGAAGCATTGCATCATCAGACGTTGGACTCTCTGTTCCAGACAATGCAGATATTTCAGAATAACCCAGCAGAGGCTGACTGGTGCCTTTACTGTTGTTGGGACTTGAACCTGCCAACAAGTCCTTGACACGATTGTACAGGTTCACTGGTACAGCAGTCACTGCTCCCAGCATTCCACATCCCTGCATTATAAATGACGATTGGCTGTCTGATGCTTACTATCTACTACAAGCTCTTACCTTTTCTGGTACGACATCTGGTGGACTGCATGATGTATGAACAAAAGTAGGTGTTTTAATTGTTGGCCACCTGCAGAATTTGCCAAGGCCAGCAACTACTGCAGCACATGCTGCCATCAGGAAGATGACTGGTTTCCATAGAAGACCAAGGGCACCGCAAACAACCCAGCTGACAGTGCTTTGTTTCCCTGCAGTCTTAAAACTTGTCCAGGAGCTGCAAATAACACGAGCTTTCAGTTTCTACATTTGGCAGAGGAACTTGCATGTTAACATGCAAGGAATATGTACTGTCATGCCGGAATGATAATCAGCTGTAGAACATAAATTTACTTTTTCATATCTGCTGTTCACACACAGAAGTTTAGTTTTGGTTCCAGGCCACCTGCACACCTTGATCACGCATCCTGCTTTGATATAATCAGGTGCACGCCTGGGTGTCTGCATGATTTATTCTTAGGGGGGGCGAACCCCTATTGCATCATGGCTTGGTGAGGAAGAGCACTGGTGTTGTTTGTGCACAAGCACACGGTGTGGCTTGATCTCGGGCAAGTGTCCTTGTCTTATCCTCGGGGCCCCGAGGACAAAGACAGAAACTACAGGACGGGCGGTGCAGTAACTCGCAACTGGTTTATGCAGGAGCATACCCTCGTTACATTTAACACAGCCAGAAATAAAATTTCTAGAAATCGACATGCTGATCTATCGAAAACTTGTCTGTGCTTGCATATGCCATGATCATGCATTAGCTATCTTTGATTTCCTTTAGTTTTTTTTTTTTTTGCTATGTCTCGCCCTTCAACCCGTACATTCTATCTGATTGCTAACCTGTATTTGATACCTCGCATGATGTGAATAAACCACAGGGAGTTGCTCACCACCTATCCTATACTCCCCGTCTCGTCATCTGCAGCGCAGCAAGAAATCACGAAGCATGACAAGATATGATAATGGACCAGACCGATGCTGTTTGGCCTTGCGTTTCCTGTTTTGTCTGGCCATGCGAAGTCGGCGCTTTTAGAAATGAGCGCTTGTGTCGATAGCGCGACCGTTCACACGTGTATGCAGCCTTGTGGGTGCGATCCAGTGCGATCTCTTGCAGGCATTCGTTCCCGAAGCACGCGATTGGTCGACGCTCGAGCGCACCCTTTCCGTTCACGACGTTTGTGCCAGCCCAACACCATAGAGAAATAAAGGTT